TCTGCAGGTTACATCATCTTGAGCAAGCATGCACTCTTTTCTCAATTATTTTGTCTAAAATATATAAATTGTTATCCAATATCAACATTCCTTTATCGAAAATGATTATTTTTTTTAAAATTTTATTATTCACACTTTACCAATGAAGATCAAGAGGAAAATGGCTGCGGTTGAAACTTTGAGCAACAATGCTGCCAAGAACAATGGCGCGCATTTCGTCATTCTACTTCGCAGCAGTGTTACAGAAATAACTTAATGAGCAGTTTGTCATCGTAAGTAAAATCTTACATAGACTTTGACTTCTAGTCTGCTGTCTAAATCTTGCACACAACATGTACGGACAAACTGCATTATCACAGTTTTAAATACCAGCCAAATATTACCATATACCTTGAATTTTTTGAAGGTCTCAAGATCCGTAAAAATAAGTTCGTATTTGAACTAAATCAAAATATCCATCTACGAATCACCTGGTTACTCGACACGCGAAATCATTTCAATATACTGCGCTTCTTTGCTTGCTACTGATTTGCTACTTGGACTTAACACTCGCAAAAAGTTAGTTCCCAGCACTATTATCAATCATCTCAAACCGGAATTTCGTTTTCCAGCAAATGAGAGTAAATCCCGAATAACACTACCGCATAATTTCATGCTACATGTACTTACGATTCTATACTGAGTACAGAATCGTAAGTGCCCTGTATTTTTCATGCTCAGAATCTATCAGCTTAGAAACTCTCGTACTCCGAGACTGTCAGATTAAAAACCATAGCTGGTTATACATCAGAATAATTATAGAAGACTGCTTATAGTAACATCAAAACTAGTTTGATATCAGAGACAAGGGTAATCAGAGTACTCCATGTGAGGCTAAATTACATGTCGTACGCAGATCGGAGACTCACTGACTTAATAACACACTTACTGCTAATTTGAACAGCAAAATTTACCTTTCTGCTTAAGTTAATCTTCAGGTAAGAAAAAAGGATCTGTAATTTATCTTCACATTTCCACTACACACAGGGCTTCAAGGCACACCGTGACAAAATATCACTTCTGTCCGTAGACCGTTGGCATTTCTTTTATCCGCGAACGTTCACGGGGAACGTGACCGAGTAAATACAACTGGTTTAGAATATTAGTCCTGCTATTTCACTTGATGACATGGCAGATTGTCTCAATGCATCTTCACCTTCCTCTCCTGAGCGAAAGAAAAAAAAAAAAAAAAAAAAAAAAAAAGAGTAAACAGTTACACGACGAACGAAGGACGACGAACGAAGGACGAACAATTTTAAAACCTGGCCTTCGTGTTCCGGACATGTCATCCGTAAAATTCGCCCATTTATTGGTGTACCCAAAGCCATACCTTTAATTTGAGCGAGAAAGCGCGCGAGAGGAGCGCGTGAGAGGAGCGCGCGAGAACGACTGCGAAGCGCGAAGCGCGACGCCGACCACAAAGCTGACTGTCAATCATGGCATGGGACGATAAAGCACTAGCCAGCTATAAACCGCGCTTTTGACCGAATGTACGAGGTGGTCGGTAAAGGCGATCATGCCAAGACGAGAGACAGCAAAGTTGGCCTTTCTGAACCACTTCATCTATTCCTGTTTGTAAAAAAGATGCTGGCAAAAAAGTCAAAGAACATACCCAGGAATGAAAGAGCCTTCCGTGCAGCAAATTTTACAGATTGTACATCACATCTGCTTAGATACAACAGCTGGGGTACGGCATCTCTGGCCTGTAGAGTACATAAAGTTTAAGTCAACAATGAAATTACAGTGGCGAACCACCGGCGTAATCCACAAACATGTGGTGCGTACCTGAAGCACTGTGAGAGCCACGCATGCTCCTTCCCGTAGTTTCTCCTCAGATTCTTCAAGGGCCTCAATACTCAAACTAATAGCCTGGGAAAAAAACATAATGGGAAGGTATCAGAATCCACGTTTGTTCGCTTTACATGTATGATATTTGTTTACGAACCAGTGTTTTCTAAAACAGAGAAACCTGCATTAATGGTGGTCCGAGAGGATGTTGTTGATACAACGCTTTCGTGACGGGTGGTAAAACAAAGGTGTGGACTTGACTCACCTTTCTGCGCAAGTCAGCATTCTTTTTCAAATGCGATAGATAGGATTCTGTTGAAAGCAAATATTTTGATCGTTTTCTAAAATTGGTTGAACCGACTGCATATCAGAATAACAAATATTTATCAATTTCTTTAAGGGGTAGATAGATTCCATAATAATTTGCTTCGCTTCCAACTCAAGGCTTTATAGATTGGAGCGAAGCATCGCCCAACTGATGTGTTAACGGCTCAAATAAAAGCCTCGTCACGACTTGCCCCTTGTGGTAAGCCTTACTAATGTTTACTTTCCTATTCTATATGTGAAACAAATATCCATCGCCGTCCTGCCTTAATCCCTTCACAAACTAACATCAGTATGTATATTCTCCATACTACTCTTCACCCACTTCCTTTGGTACTAACAAGGAGGTTTTGTTTGACAATCAGGAGCTGTTTTAATTAGTGACCTTAATATTTGATTTAGCAAAAATACTGTAAGGTGAAATAAGATGCTTGTCATTATAGGGTGCTAAATAAAATTTGGGATCATAATGACTTGATAATTCAAACATCTTCAAGGTGACATCTTGGCGTACCTGCGGCCTGGGCAACAAAAGAATCATTGTCTAGCAAGAGGCAGAGCACAGGACAAAAACAGGTTTTGGACAATGGTATCTCCGTGTACTGCTTCAGCTGTAGGAAAAATTAATAAATAAACAATTAAATACAAAACTAATGACCTAATCGCCTGATAGTTCAACAAACCAAACAGGCTGTTTGTTTTTTTTCCCCCACCTTTGGGAACATACCTCTGCGCTCCGAGAGGACTATTTTGTTTTCCTTCAAGCAGCAAGGAACGTATATTTTCAGATTTTCTAATTAGTCGAATTAAACAGATGGGGGCTAGACTGCATATAAGCGATATCGGAGATGATTTGCGGTATTTCTCGCTGGCTTACTTTAGCGAGTAAACAAAAATCCAAAAATTAACATCCTTGGATTCTCCGTGATGAATTCCCTTAAACCTTATTACAAGTAAAATAAAACGGTCTTTATATTCAAAACAGAAAAAAAGAGTATCTGTTTACCTGCGCAACAACAGCATCTTTTTCAGTGGAACGCAGGCGCTTACAGATCACAACTGAAAAAAGCATCAGAATGCACATTAGTACCATGGAGTAGAAATCTGTATGGCTCATAATTTTAAAAAAATCACGAGCGGTTCTTCTACTGCATATATCGAGTGCGCACATAAAATTAACAAAGCTAATCAATCCGTAGTTTCCCCTAAGCCTACACGATTACTCATGAAAACTAATGACATGACTTTTAAATAAAAGTAAAAACAAAAGGACCACGTACGTTCATAAGCCACCTCGTCGATGTATTTGGACAAGTTGGGCCTGCAAGATATTATAAGTTACCAACGTTTAGCATGACGAAGGACACAATCATCCTTACATTCCTTGATTTGCAGTTCACAATGATTCCTATTGTTCAACCTCAATATTAACGAGCTACCAATTGCATGAGACAGAAAACTTACGGGCGAAATCTCATGGATCCAAAAACATATATCACTGAAAAAACACATTTTTGGCAACCGTGTAGAATGAATTATTTGTGGATGGGCGAGACTTGGTCTTTCGTGGTTACAAAATTTTCGGTTCAGGGTGACTATTATTTGTGAAGGGAAAAAATTTCAACGATGTCCTGCTCAAACAGCACAAAATCAGAAATTTTAATACTTTCAAACTTTTTGTGTGGTACACCAGTGTAAGGGAGCTACACGATGGCTGTCATCAAATATTTCGAGTGAAGGAAAACGCGATGAGTAAGAATTGCTTCCCAAAATTCGCGAGTGGCGAATTTCATTTGACTTGAGTACAATTCAGTTTGGCCATATTCTCTGTTCTGGAACTCATGCTTGCGGATAGAAAATAATAGGCAAAATCATGCTAAGTAGTACTTACATCTGAGTACTACGATTCACTGTCAAAAGCGAACGCATTGAACTGAGAACAAACTAACCTCCACAAGTCCATGAAGTAATGCTCAAACTGAAACACGCTCACAAGCTCTTCCTCTTCGGGCTGGACATCAGTCAAATCAGGATCTTGATGGATAACACGAGCTACAATAACTGGAAAGACTGCAAGAGAATGCAGAAAAACCAACCGTCCGAATGAGCCTTAAAACCATTGCAAATTACACTGCAGTGACAACTGCAAAGTTGAGAACGCCGTACGACAAGAGCAAACAAACAAATGTTGTTTCTTCACAAAGGGTGGTGAAGACATCTCTTAGGCGCGGCAGCCTTTTCCTTCATTAGGCTTCTTCTTTCACAGCGTGCGCGTTGGTGTCACCTTCGTGCCTTTCGAAACTTTCCTCTGACTGGAGGATGTCACTGTAGTCTCTTCGTAGCCGATGTTCAAATTCGTAATGCTATGCAATATGCTCTTTTCCCAGTAGGATTCTCACGGTTGACACCACATAACCTCTTCCTGTCCTCATAGCAGCCAATCACAGAATAGCTCATATTTTTCTGGCTAATTGGTGCAATTTCTACTCGTCCAAAAACAACTCCTGTTTTGTCGGTGATGTTTAAAAGCTGAATAACCTGACAAGACTTGGGGAGGGTGTAAAACGCGTTGCGCGTTGCATGACGAGATTAACCAACGACTACGAGGAAGATTAGTGATGCATAAGCTAGGAACTTAAGATCTATAAATGGAGACGTTGAACCACATTTTCTGGTTTTACTAGTGTACTAACCTATCTCTACCACTCTGTTGTAACTCTGTGTTATTTGTTTCTTATAGGTGTCTTCAAACCCGCTCACAAGCTGGCCAGCCGTAGTAAACAATAGCTTCAAAAAGATAAAACCAGCAATCAAATGAGTTTCGTTAGAGAATCACACTTTGATGGTCTGCTTCTTGTAATAAAAAACTTCTGTCAGTCAGTGGAAAGGCTGACGGACAGACGCTTCCATGAAGTAAAAAAAGCAAAAAAGACCTCCAGTAACACAGCAACACTTGTGGCTCGGTAATTACATGTAACAAATAATAAAGCACTTACTGAGCCTTTGCAGGTTTTTTCCCAAAGAGAGGACAACGCAGGGTTTGTTGCCAAACGAGGGTTAACTGTCAGAGAAAAAATCACTATAAAGACAATTTCAAAGGATAACATGTGCATACAACACTCATTCGCTTGGCTTCCGGAGCTAACTCGACTTTCTGTAGCATAAAGGGACTAAGAGTATCCCTTCTCCACAGGGGTAGCACACTAACATCAGTATGCATATTCTCCACACTGTTCTTTATACATTTCCTGAGGCACTGACAAGGAGAATTTAATGAACAATCACGAGCTTCTTTAGTTGGTGATCATTTCCTTTATTCTCATGACCTTAATGTTTTATTTAGTGGTGACACTTGGAGGAGAACTTAGATGCTGGTCGCTTTTAGGGTTAAAACTGTTAATTACTGCCCATTCATACTCCTGGATGAAAAGAAGCACTGTGGAAGTTACACGTCGTGCCCAACGACACTTCACACGAGATCCGGGTTTCAACCCTGAATGAACGGGCCATTGTGCAGGTGAAGTGTTTTTGGGTAATGGACTTCCTCTCTAGGAGCCTCTATACACCAGGGAGTATAACTGGGTACGAGCAGATCCACAGATCCGCGCCCGTGACTTGAATTTAAACGCTTTTATATAATTCACTCACTTGCTGACAGCGTCATCTCACTGACAGGGTCGGGTGATAAAATGAACGTGATGAGTCTGTTAAGAACTTCCTTCTGTTGTCGAAATTTAGAGAGAGCTTGCATTTCCTAGAACGAGATAAAACAACACTTCGGTGACTAAAAACAATCACACAAACAATAAAAAAATACTTTTAAAAACCATGATACCAACCTTGTACTTCATGGGCCCAAAAGATCCAAGATGCTGGGAAAAAAAAACATTTTATATACGTTAGCAAGAAGCAGAAACGATAAAATAGTTTCAAACCAAAGATTAACAGTTTAAATAACCAGCATATGCATTTTAGCCAATCATAATTAAGATACTGAATTTTCAGCCGATGAAATTCAGATATAAACCACACGCACGTACGCACGTATGCACACATGCGTTCAACTACCGACCAAAATTTACTTTCAAACATAGTTTTCATTTAATTGAACCCGGCATTTCCTTTGGGGTTCAATTATTTTGCCTAAAAATTAGTTTGAACTCCTTTAACATCCGTGAGAAAGGAAAGAGTGCGAAGTTTTAGTCTTATCAGCTTTATAAGGGTAAGTCATTGTGGACTTTCAATTTAAAACAACTCTTTGTCTTACCACAGAGACTTCTTCACAAAATTGCAAGTGACAAAGGACGACCTAGGGAGCAAAGGCAAAGATATGAATGAGTAAACGAATTACAAAGAGAGAGAAAATAGGGAGCAAGTATGGAGACTATATACCTCGAGATGTGACCCTTTAACCGTGTGTGGAACAATTACTTGAACTGTTACCTTGTCCAAAAGTTTGCTACCAACTGTAGCTTCGTGGCCGTATGAAGACGACAGATTAGGACTTGTGGCCCGTGATGACCGAGTCTTGAGGCTACTGTGTTGAGGACTCTCCTCATTCACTTCCGTTGCTACTTCAATCCGTTTCCTAGGAGAACTGGTGTTAGGTGGAACGCAACCTAACTCAGCCTTGTCCAAACACTCCGATTTCTCCACTGCCGAAGATGATGACGAAAAGATCTCAGAAATACAACTTGGAGAGTCATTCAAAGAGTTTCTATCAGAGTTTTCTTCAGCATCAAGGTGCTCACTTTGTAATCCACTGTCTTCGATTCCATTTACTCCGTTATTATCATTTATATCCCCGTAATTTCCAGCGGTCTTCTCGGACATCATAAAGTCCACAATGTAACCAGCATCAGACGAACCCTCGCCCACAAAGTCTTTGCTATAGTCATCAGTGCTATTATAACCAGTATCTTGATATCCGCTTCCCCCACTACCAGTACTGCGGGGAGTGCTTTCTGTCTCGTCCACCGCATCCTGCTCTAAGAAGTCAAAGCTCTCTAGTGCACTTTCCACAGAAAGAGACATGGACGATCTTAATAAGGAACATTTCTGGAAATAAAAGAAACAAAAAAGTTTCTCAGTTACGAATGCTTCAGGTATAGGCCCACTATTCAGTTTGGGGCCTTCTAAGGTTTACATATCTTTCTTCACAGATCTCCTGTAGTGTTACGAAGCTTTGTTTACCTTCAATAACGAAATGCTCTGTCGACAAACGTTCAAGTTATTCATTGAAAACCCGTGAAATCAGCGTAATAAAACATCACATTCACTAAATGCAGGGATTTCATACCTTGACAAGTTCTTCTAGTTTTTCAAGAAGCGTGATCACGTCATCAAGCTCAGGAAATTGATCTATGAAAGGAAAAAAAAGCTCGTATAAATAAACTTCTAACAACAAGGGTTGAAAAAAGATGTGTTTACGTTCCCCTTCATCTCTCGTAGAAAGTTTACAGTTGCTGCAAGCGTCCATTTCAAGACAAAGTTCTTCGCGCACGCGTTCCGACCGTGGCGACGGCATCCTAGTAAAATCTTGAATACCTACATTGTATCATAAATCGTAGGATCACGGACACTTCTCATTCCTTGACAATTTCACTAAATAAAGCGCGGCCATACTATACCCAGTCCACATTAAGGTTACCGTGTTAGGTGTTTACCTCCATTGAAGGGGAACCCTTGGAACGACACATACTTAGGGCTTTTCTCAAAGAGATACATCATTTCAACAAAAGTAGCAGTTACAAAGTATACTATCCTTGTACTTCTTGAGCGAAGTCTTCGATGATTAGAGGTGTCCCAAGAAAGAAGAAATAACAGAAACTAATTTTCTTCTAAAAAGACGTCGCTTAGAGCGCTTTTCGATTGATTGTCGTAAAACCAAAACCGAACAATCCCAACAGCCAATCACATCAGGGTAAACTTCACCAGGAGTTAATGAGAACTCGAAGCAAATACAGGCAATCTACCCAAAGTGCGGGAAAACGCGGGTGACCAAGTCGTCGTGATTGGTTTGAATCCTGCATCTGATTGGTTGAGAGAGTGGCGCGCGTTTTCTGGACCAATCACAGAGCAAAGTAAAACAAATGCATTCCCGGATTCCTCACGCTACTCAACTAGAAATTTCTCTGTTGAACAAACCTTTATTAGTCTGTAATGTGGGAATAAGATGCTGCAAGGCGCTATCCAAGGATGTGGCATGACGGAATTCTTGAGGTTCTTCTGGAGCAATTCCATTCAAGTCGTCTTCGGGTAGACCTGCAGCAACCAACTCTGAGGAATCTGTCACTTCTTCAACAACTACCTCCTGTGGTCAAAAATCAGACTGAAATTACATTTACTCAATAAACAGACGGACTCCTTCCTCTGCCACTAACTCATCTTCAGTCATTTTTTTTTTTCTTTATTAGGACGAACACTCTCCTTTCTAAGAAGTTCTTAAACGAACTACGAAGGCATAACGGTTTGTTGTAACAACCACAAAACCTACCTCATCTACAGATAAAGGCTTGTCCTCATTTCTCTCAACACTGTATTCCACTTCAGTAAGGCTGTTAACGAACAGAAAAAAAAACACACTTTGTGACTATGATTTGCATACATTTATATCTTTGCGTGATGTGACATTCTCTTGAAACTGCATAAATAACTACATTTAAACAAACCAATCAGTCTCCAAGTACGTCTCATGAGTCGCTGGAAAAAGAAAAAAACAGACAAAAAAAAATTGACACCGGGCCTTACTACAGTTGTTGATGTTCTGGGAATTTTTTGGATTGAATCCTTTTTTTTTTTTTTTTTAAATTACCCCACCCCTCCCCTTTCCTTCCTTCTGACCGTCCCTACCTCCCTGGTGCAAATTACTTTCTCTTCCCAGCCTTCCTCTGCTGCAAAAATCAAAGATGGCGGCTATAATTTTCACCATGAAAATACTGAGCACTCGCGTGCCAAAATCAAGCCTGCTCTGAAGGCTTGATGGAAAGTTCTACACAAACCAATCAAATAAATTTACCTCTTTTGTTTGGTAGGGCTGCGAGGTAAATCTGATGAAGGTATTGTACACTCGGAAGGCTGAATAAAGATAACTTCTGACAACAGACTCTGTCGCTTAGAACGTAATGTATTCTCCTCTTTCCCAGAAAACGGTCTGAAATGAACATCCAAAAAAATATTGACACTGAAATACAGATCAATGGAAGGCCAAGCCCCAGTTGCCCAAAGGGCAGGTAACGCTATCCAGCAGATAAAAGTGAGCAAAATGAAATGCACTATCCACAGCATTGGGATTTATTCCGTTGATTCCGTTATTCACCCTTCGCACAACCAGGACCAGTAGGGTATCTCAGTGATTTACATCAAAAAATTTTAAATAAACAGTGACATTAGAGATTGGCTCCTAATAATTTCCATACCTCCATTCCACTGTCATTTTAAGTTTCATTGAACCTGTGCTGTTCAGAGGTACAGACATGATCTAAAATAAAAAGGAGATCATAAGATTTCATTTTTTTTTTTTACTCACAACCTGACTAATCCAGATAAGAGAATGAACATATCAAACCAAAGTTATACATGTGCAAGTTCTTTGCCATAAGTCATCTTCAGGAGCAATATAACCAATGACATGGCTTCTGATAATGTGGATAAAGTGATTAGTTTTTTCAGTCAGTCACTATAATGAAAAATGGTCGGAAATCGAATTCTTGACATGCTTGCCTCTTTGGCTGCTCAGAGGTGAATAGCATTTGCTAATCACTTCTGAAGTAACCAATCAGCACACACGAAAAAGTGCTTTTCACCTGAGTGATATATACTTAAACAACACACAGTGGTTGGCTCTTTAATTTTTGTCTCATTAAGTTTCTTAACTTTCTCCATAACTTCAATGTTTTTAGCACTCTTTCCAAAACCTTGGTTATGTGCGCTGTTTCTACATTTGCAATACATCTTTCAGCTTTATTATGCAGTGGCAAAACTATTCATAACAAAAGAAAAAAATTACAAAGGGATATATGGTGGTTGTTCCATACCTGTGGTCTAGCTTTTATGTAATTTCTTGATCTCAAATGAATATTTCCAATTTGAACATTTGCTTGGATTTTTTTCATTTCAATGACCTGTCAAAAATTATGAAAAAGAGTAAGCTAAGTTTGATCCATGTTAACCACAATTGCAATAATCTTGAATTCCCTTACCCTGACAGAAAATTCATCTGTAATTGATGGTCTCAATGTGAACTGTAGCAACAAAAAAATAGAGCAATATTAGATGACAAACTTGTAGTTGATATGCTTAGAAACGAAAACACACAACTGAATTATTGTGCATGTATTTCCTTGTTAGGTAAATGTAGGTTGAGTCTGTACTCAATTCAAGTGGCCCAACCAGCCACAACCTCTACTGGTTTCCTTATTATGAAAGGACTAGGAGTAAAACTACTCCCCCCTGGATGGGATGTCAGTCCATCACAAGGTTTTAACCCCCAGCATTTCATCTGAGCCTTCCCTGATGATTTACCAGTACCCATCTATACTCCTGCCCAAGAACACAACACAATGATCCAGCCAGGTCTGAAACCCAGACCTCTTAACCCAGAGTACAGTTCACTATCCCTTGTGCCACCCCACCCCTGTGGATAATGCAGATGGTTTAAACCAGAAGCACAGTAAATTGAGAAGTTCAAAATCATTCTCACTAAGGTTAAGGTTAAGTTCAGAGAATGATTTGTTTTAGGAAAAAGCTGATCTGTTTTATTAACAACCTAAGGAGAAGCAATCGTCAGAGTTATAAACTACTTTTCTTGTGAAATGAGGTTAGTTAATACACACCAAAAGTGACCCTCTGACAAAGAAGTGTTTTGAAAAAATTAATCTATAGCTATTCTAGACTATTATTCTATGAGTGAAAATAATATTATTGATTTAAGACCTTTATTACAGTACAATGTAATTCCTCAGTTTGAGTAATTTAAAAGCCATGATATCTCCCACAATGATTACAAATAATCATCCTTGAAGTAAAAAACAAATTTTTTGACAATGCCTATTTGTAACAGGTTTTGAAATATTACTCTACACATTTTTATTAAAACAATACACCCACTCATACACCGTGTACATAGTTTTAGAATATGTGATCATACCAGGCAACTCAATCACATTCATGTTCAGATTATGGCTAAATATAACATATTTCACTTCTAGATTCCAAAATACAAAAGCTTAGTACCTCATTATCTATCCATTTTTGACTTTCCCTTTCTACTTTACACCTTGATTTCCATTTAAAATTACTTCCATGTCTAATATGTATCTATAAAATAAAAAAAATTATTTATTCATATCAGCTTCAACCTTTTTATACCCAGGAGTAACTATAAAAACCATCCTCATAATATAAGTAAATTTTCAAACAGCATGGTTACGTAAAGTAGGAAAAAAAATAGACTGCAGTTTTATTTCACACCAAATTCTCAGAGATAAATTATAACAGATGTATGGCAAACCATGAACAGAATCAATAACTAAAGTAGAACCCTGCTGACTCAAACTCCAAAGGGAAACAAAAAAATGGTTAAAACTAGTGAGGGTTTGAGTTAGCAGATAGTAAATGACTGAAAAAATGGCATCAAGGGAAATCAGATCAAGTCAACTGAGATTGAGTTAGTAGGGCTCTACTGTATCACTTGATACTGAAATGATTAAATGGTAAGTTTATCTTTGTTAAATTCATTAGAGTGCAAAGTTAATGTTTTGGTACATACATCATATACATCACCACTGCATAGTCTTCCAAATGCTTGGAGAGCTAGAAGAAAAAAAGGAAAAAATCTTAATTATCTCATTTTCAGAGGCTAAAGATGAGTGAGTCAATTCAAAAACTGGTCATTGTGAGTTCTGCTCAGACAAGATGTGACAACATCAATGGTCAAAATGGTCATGATAGTCATGAAAATGTATTTTTAGTTTTTAAGTTACTAAATAATAGATCTTCTAAAGGTCATCACTGACTCACCATTCAATTGAAATCTGAAAACACCAAGTTTAGTTTCAAGTTCCTCTTCAATAGCACACATTTTCTGAGAAAAACATAATAAACATGCAACACACACTAACAAAGTTCAGCAAATTATCAATTCACACTAATTCATTTTCAATATATACTATATGCAACTAACCAGTAAACATTGGTAAAAAATGAAACACTAAGCTAACAGAACTTGACTTGACTCTATTTATCCACAAGGTCCAGTTTTGAGACCTTATGAACAGAATGTTACACATCAGTGATAAATTTGTTTATCTAATGTACCTCTGTGCAAGCATTTATGCTGCCTCTGCACTTATCCTGACCTCCTTTGGATCCCCGAGATGTCAAGGCATGCAGTAAGTTACGTGAACCTGAAAACAAATTCAACAAGGACTTGAAAAATTGTTCTCAAACTCATTAATTATTGATAATGTGGTGACATCCAACCTAGAGACACTTTATATCAAAAAGGTTTTATACCTTCTCTCATCTTCTCTTCATAGAGGTAGAGCTGAAAAATCTCATCAATCTAAAAATTAACGTAACAATTAATAAAAAACATTCAAATTTCCAGTTTTAGTAAACATTGCCTGAAGTTCACATGTATCAAGCAAAATTGCTACAGAAGCAGAGTTCACACGATGGAAAATAACAAACAAACAAACATTTAAAAGTTGGATATAGCTTTTCATCAAATTCAGTTTATGAATGCTAGGAGATAAACCTTCACATGAAATGGGATATCAAAACCTGCATTGAAGTGTAATAGTATATAAAAAATTGAGGTTGAATTGATCTTCAAGTTCATACCAAATATATTACCACATTAACAATAAAAATAAATAAATTAAAAAAACTGTTATAACTCTAACCTCAAATTATTTTAAACCACCATATATATTACATGGCCAAACTAAAAATAAAAGCATTCCAAAAAAAATAGTATACTTTTGATGAGAGGAAAGTCCCATTGACCAATTCAAGATGTCAGCAGTCTGGCCCTCTATCATAGAAGGATTCCCAACCACACATTCAAATCACCCTCAGATAATAATGATCCAAATCCCTTGCAAAAACCTACCTGCTGTATCCTTGACTCTATCAACCTATCATATAAGGGAAAATTGTCCACATTTAATTCTAAAAATTGAAAAATTGTTAAAAAAATTTACCCCTTATAATGATAGCAGAGTTCAAAACTTAATTTTTACAATAGTGAATTGTGACCAGTGTTTAAAGAATCCCATCTTAGTAAGTAAATTATCATTAATAATAATAACTCACTTTCAAAAACAGAAATTTTATAATATTTCCTTTTTCTTTGTTTCCCTTTATTTTCCTACCAATTATCCAACAATTTAACAAAATATTTACCTCAAAGTATGAAATAATCACTGATGCAAGCATTTTATAAGTTATGATTGCCAATTTATTTGGCCATCCCTAAAATTCTAGTACAGTGGTGCTTTCTAATTTCCAGCAAAATGGCTTTTTCTAACTTCTCAATGCCAAAAAATTAAATAAATGAACTCACTTTATTCTTTGCTCAACAATCCTTTTCCTCTGAAAAAAAAAAATGCATTTTACTAGTATCACTGCAGTATCATATATAATAATTTCAGTTGAAATAAAGTATCCTTCAAAATTACACATTTTACCATCAAGTCAATTCGATATCATTTGCCACGGACGAAGTAACAATATAATTATCTTAAACATCAGTGCTAACAGTCAGATGACATACCTTAGGTTCCACGCTGTTCAGAGCATCCTTCAGGTGTCGTGCATATTCGCTGAAAGTCAAAATAAACATAATCATAAATCAAACAAAATGTATATTAAAAAAACTTTCATCATAACAACTTACTCTGGTTCAACCAGAATGTATATGGGTGAAATCAACTTTCAACATTTTTGGGTTTTTAAAAAACATGCAAAAAGCTGGAGTTGAAACACACAGTGCTATTTGCTTATCTTGTCCATGACAATTATTTCAAATGAGTCAAAGTCAGCATCACAATCATAACAACAGAGGAACTAATGAACAGATGAACATCAGATTTTTCTGACTGATTTCATTAAGCTTAAGTCTGAACAACTTTCAAGCTCATCTTCTTTTTAACTCTGCCTACAACTTCAGTTTTAGATTTTCAGCAAGGGGAAAGCTATCTCATGATTTTAACCTTTTAACACTGATTATGTCACTATTGACAACAAGCCTTCTTTAAAATTGTTTGAAGGGGAGGAAACATGTTGAAAAATACCCCTATGATCTTGCCTGACATTACAACTGTACAGGTTTGACCTATTTTTTAGATTAGTTTTTCAATGTAGAAATAGTAGACAGTGCACCTATCTTAAAAGTTTAACCTAAACTTCATAAGTTACATCTCATGCAGCACAAAATCATTGAGTGCTGATTGGCTAAGACAGAGGGCATTTTTCCTTAATAATGCATGAGGCACTTTTGTTAATCAAGAGGACCGGTCATTGATTACTTGATGCTTATTGAGCCTATTTACTGTTTGCAGCAATGATTTATTGATTGCAATTTAACTGAATGAAGCCATGTAACATTGTTAACTCTATTTTAAGAATAAAATGTTCATCGACTCTATTTGTTTTGACATATGTGGCCACACTGAAAGGGCTTCATTGCTGGGACATTGTGTGCAAATGAAATTGCTTCAAAATTTTTGCCCTTTATGTGATAAACAAGTAATTGCAAGTACCCTATGGCAATTAGGGATTAATTTCACTTGTGTTTTCAAAGTTTTCCCAAAATTACCCAGTTCACTTTTGCTCTCTGGCCTATGCGATTACATACACTAATGCAGAGCCCTTTGCAATAAACAAAGGGTTCCTACATTAGCCAAGGACAACTGGAATTTTTTACCACTAAAAAACCTATCACTATCAAATCCAAACTCTCCCATAAGTTATCTTACCTAAGGGCTGACTGAAGTTTACTAAACACACTAGTTGTCTGGGCAATCCTTGGACACTTCAAAGCTGGCTTGGGCCCAAAAATTCCAGAAGACTTGCGGCGAATCTGAGAATGTTTCCTCTCCAACTCTGCTGGGCTTTGAAGTGGTGTAAGTGGTTTGACACAAGAGATTGCTGAAGCACTAAATGATTGAGATCTTGCAGCTGCACTTTCAAATGGATGACGATCCATTCTAAGTGACCTTGAATTTCTGTTTGGCGTGGATTTGCTACTGGCACTGTTTTCTTTTCCCTTCAAGGAAAGAATATAGTTAATACCCTCATGCAGCTACAGGGTTTTTATTCAGTATTGTTTTGACTAGAAATTAGTGTCAGGTAACAGGCTTGACTGCACACATGCCTTGGAGCACACATGCCTAACTAACCATACAATTGGGTGAGTTGAATCTAAAATTAACACCAGCACCTTTGTTTGGAAGCCTGGCATATCAACTCTGCCCACACTCCTTTAAATTGTGATGATGGTGGCCTACTGCCTGACCCCTACTTACACCTTGTCAGAAAAAACAGCAGCTAATTAGGGAGCATACAAAAGAACCTCTTGTTGCAGCAATTAGATAACTCCTGATGAAGGCACTGGAAAAAGTTGGGTCTATGAGTCATAACTACTCAGTTACATTGATTTCATTAAATCTTTAAACCAGCGTAGCATCAAACCATATGTGATTGCCCACCTGCTTGCTTAGTGAACTTTAATATAGGCTTGAGAATATTCTCAAAATCTGAATTAAATATTGCTCAGGCAATCAAAACTGAGGCAGATCATTCTACACAGTACATAGCTGGTCAATTCTCTGTTACTCAAAAACCTTTAAACACCTAGCAGAGCTACATATGAAGGAAACCTCTTTGAAAAGATAAGGAAGGAAAGGAAACCTCTTCGAAAAGAAAATTGACTTCATGTCCCCAGTGTAAAAAATTTCAATCACGGCAATTGTTATTAACATCAACACGCATGGATGATAACAGACATATTTCTAAATTATGCACAATGCAGTGTTCCAATATTAGTCTTCAGCAATCAAAACAACATTGGTGAAGTTTAAGTACGATAAATCTGTCAACAGATACACTTTGTAACATAGTAAATAGTAAGACAATTCTCAACCTAACTGAAAAAGGATTCATATCAAAAATAACTGAACAACAGTATCTATCCAAATGTTGGAAATATTTCAAACTGAGTTAGATACTGGCCACATAAGTAAAACTCTAGAAAATATCAGTTTAAGCTTACTAGAACTCGATAAATCTACAAAATGAATACACCAAAGAGCCACTTACGAAGCACATCTCTTCAATGAATCATAAAACAAGAAAATGTACAAACTGATAGCCGTAAAAACAATGATTGAAGATTAAAAATTCATCTTAACACCTCTCTTCAGAAGGACTGACCACTCTCAAATGAGTATACCATCAATTGATTCATCAAATATTGTTCAGTGATAGAGTATGGAGATCTAAATATAATACTGTGCAATATTCTCAAGAATGTAAGCAAAATTATCAAATGAATCCTTACATGTGAAGCAATATGTTGTGTGTTGGAGGTTTGAAAGTGTTGGAGTATAATTGACGCCGGGAAATTATTTGCACGACCGAATGCACTTAAAAGAATTATGATAATCATATAACTTCATTCTATGACAACACCTTGAACGTACATATTTACTTGTTTCTATTGCTTTATGAAACATCTTTCTTGTTCTGATCAAACACAAACTAAAGAATGGTGATGCAAATTTTAGGCTTAATAAATGAAGGCTTCACGCTGCGAAATTACATTTCGATATAGAAGAGCGCATATTTTGGTGTATTTCATATTCCGATTAAAAACGATGATTGCAAAATAGAAAGTCTCATATTTCTGCTCCTTCATAACTGGGCAATGTCACAGCAAACATGTTTTAAGAAAGATTACATTAATAATCCCATTACCATACAACATCACAACTTTGTAAACTACTTTTGAATGCACCATAACAAAGAAAGAACCTGTCGGGAACCTTTTTCGAATTACAATACATGATGGAAATTCAAGTCACTCGCCTTTTATGGGAAAAAAGCTCTCATTACCGGGGAATATTTTCATTATTGTTTCATTCATCCATTATTTTTATCCCGAATAAATGACTGATTGGTGTGAAAAACGAACATCTTCGGCGTAAATTACTTCATTGCTAACCAAAAGAAACAATTAATAACGTGTTTTTACGATTTCTATCCGGTCCATTTGGAGCATTTGAAATATATCGAATTTCATTCCCCACTGTTAAAAGCGAAAACACGAACAAACAAGTTTTTTCAGAGAGTAGAAAGCTAGAAATCTAAATTCTAACGAGAAAACGTTACTCACCGAAAATATAACCTTAAAATTTCAAACAAGCTCAAGAAAATTTAAACTAGCCGAGATATCATTACTGAGAGAAACTCTCTCCGTTTTACGTACGAAGTATGGCCACAAATTAACGGCTTATCTTTCTGTTCCTCTGATACAATACTCACCATTTGGCCCGCTATAAGAAGCTTCTTTCATCGGAAGAGTTTTCTATTCGTCATCAAAGCCAAACGCTAGAGTCACTCCGGATATATGACCCGCTCACCCCGCTTAATTCTTCTCTGTTTACCTTTGAGGCTTCGACCAAGATGGCGGAACGTCACGTGGTAATCTTAATTCATATAAGGAATGATGGTTAAAATATCCAATTAACATTCTTGAAAACAAAACATTTCCTTAGCAATTAAATTAACACGAATAAACATCCTGTATACCAGCCGGAAGACACGCAACGGTTACCAATAATTTCTTAAATTTCTCTGAAAAAAGCCATTTTTAACAACCCCATCGATGCTAGGGTATTAGCGAAATACCGCGCTTGAAATGAGCAAGCAATTTTGAGAAATTTGAACAATAGTGACAAAGATTAGTACCGTACACGACAAAATATGCAGGCCTCTTTTTTCGAAGCCCAGTAGTTTTCCAAATTTGTAAACCCACATCAGTTCATAACGATGAAAATATCGGCTTCCATGTGTGACGCACGAATTCCCGCATTCATTGGAACGTGACTGAATGCTGACAGGGCTTCAAAAGCGTGTCATGTAATAAGTAAACTGTAAATGACAAATATGACAGGACGTGATCTGTCAAAATTTTGACATTTGAAGATTGTTATTGCAACAAAGCGATTAAGCCGCGACTGCGGTTAGCCTAATTTTTTATCGTCAATATCTAATTCGGTCTGTGAGCTTAATCGTTTGCAATTTAACCTCAAAGCCACAGGAAAGGCAACAAGGACCTGATTTAAACTCCAACAAAAAAGGGAAAGTAAAAAGGGGAAACGAGAAGAAATAGAAAGAAATGAAAAGGATAGAAGAGAGGAGAAAATAAAAGGAATAACAGGTAAAAAAAGAATAAAAAAAGAGAAGAAAATAGTTCGCCATCCAAGTTTTTCTCAGCATTAAAAACTAGAGAAATAAAGGATTCCAATTCCCGTTATGGGTCATCTCAATTTACCTTTTAGAAGACAAAAGGCTCTCAGGAAGCTAAAATCTTAATTTAAAGAGTCGCCTTGAAAGAATTGACAATCTCGGGTAGGCGCCATGTCATCGAGATCGCGAGAGCCACCCGTTTTGGTCAAGACTTTCCACGATCTCGCCGGTCAATTGAAGTAACAGACACAGAGGCTCTAAGGAAGTAATTCATTTCCAAACCCCTTTTCAAACACAACAGAGAAAAAAACAACAACATCAACGAAACAGAGCAAAAAAAAAAAAAAAAAGGAGGGTGGAGCAGAAATTTGTTTTTAGATATAAAGTAACAAATGCAAATACAAGATATGGGCCGAGTGAAAACTTGTGGGCACGGGCGTGGAAAACGAAAATATCCCGGCAAAGTGCCCCCGGAACATCCTGTGTGTTGCATGTTTTTTGTAGTATTTGCCATTGATTTCACGCGCTTTCATGGTCCATCAAAGATGAGCACAACAGGACTGTGCATTAAAGCTGGGCAATCATGCCATCAACGATTAACGATTAACCAAAGTTGACAAAGTTAGCAGGTCGGAATGAAAGGCATATCAGATTACTAATATTAATCAAAAGCAGAAAAGGCACATAAAATTGAGAAAACGATTCGAACTTACAGCAAATCGGGGGTTATACTATCGTTAATTGGTGAGCAACTGGGAGTTTTCAAGGCTTTATTGTACCTGCATGGTTCCCAATTCGTGGATAGCGTCCGTCGCTTAACATAGCCAACCCACTGAAAACAAGGCTCGACGCGCTGTGCAAAGCCACTTTGGGTCCTTGCGTAGTGATTATCAGGTGGCTTAGGTATGCCAAGAGCTCTTGAGTGAGTCTGTGATATAATTTTTTTTGAAGTGAAAACAGTTATGATCTAATGACCTTGACCGTTTACGCGCACGCCTCGCTACAAGTTAGATTTAGAGATTAAATAAGTGTTAATTGAGCATTTGAAACGAGTTCATCTTAAACCAAAGTATCGAGACTAAAGCGACATGATTTGTTTCGTCGGATTCAGCCGAAGTGCGCGTGAACAAGAGATTGGGTATAACTATTGTGTTATTTGATGACAGGGCGTTCGTCTCTGTAAGTCACTTCAGTTTTATCAGTCTTGTAAACCAAGCTAAGGTTATTGCTCCAATTGCATATCTAGGAAATGACAGAGCTAGGGACGCAGGTGGGCAAATCCCACCTTCTAGGTATTGTTTTTTTCGGTCAACTGTTCCATAACCCTTAGGTCAGATTTATAATCTCCCGCAAAGCGTGGGTATTTCTCAAATTTTCCCCTTTAAAGCCAGAGATAAGCAAAATTTGTGATTGGGATAGTAAGCGAGTGTTTATCTTGACTCCCGGGTTTGCGCATCTTTACAAAATACACATTAATTAATAAAGCAAAGAAATTATTTCTCAAAGGAACCTGAGTTCGAGAACAGCCCAAATATGCCGCTTTTCCATATTGGCTGGATTTCCCATCGTAAATTTCGGACATGACACATGCGCCAAAAAATTGAGTAAAAACGAGTTATATACACTGAAAAGTATTATTCATTCGCTTAATAAATTCCTAAGGCAGCATTTCCTTCTAACAATCAAGTTACCTTGGTTGGGTTTCTAAGTTGACTTAATTAACCCATGGTGATCGCTCAATAACTCTTATGCACATGCGGCTTAGGTATGACTCGATCCAAGCCCCCCTCGTCTTTTTATTTCCCGCAACTATGTATCACGCAATTAGCTAACGCACTTTGTTTTAGTAACTGAATGTCCTGTTACAGGCTATCTTAATGTTGTCATTTTCCAGAGATTTCATGTTTCAGTTTTATTCTAAATTTCTTTTTCTCCCTCGTGTCTTGATTACACTACTGTAAATTCCAACGGCTAAGTTCTAAGTGCAGGTTTCAGGCTTCTAACTTTGGCTGTCAGATGGTGAGCAAAGGGTGATGGAGCATTTGAGCGCGGAATTTGCGCACTACAAATTCCCTGTCATTATTCTTATCAAAGTTATTGTCATTTTCGCTATTGTTGTTTATGTCGTAATCGATATCATTTCCGATGTCGTTTTCGTTGTCAATTGTCAATATTGCTGTTATTTCCACTGAAAGGACGATGTGTTATTACTCGAACTGTTTTGACTTCGTCAGACAAGGCGCAGAGTTTCGGCACATAATAAATAATTTTCAGCGCTCTTAAGTTGGACATTTCCGATATTTTTTTTCTCCCTTCACCAGAGGGTTTGTAGCCCTTATCGATCAGCTGGTTAATGGAAGAGAACTTAAGATAATAACAGCGTCTTGAAGAGGCAACATCTGAAACTGGAACCTTAAATTAGAAAATAAAAAAAAAAAAAACTTTAAATTAAAATGTTAAAATCTATTCTCTTGGTATGGGAGTAATGCAAAAAAGAAAAACTGAAAAGAAAAACAACGTAATTTCAAGTTAACGTCTTTCTCTTCAATGAAAGAATGAAACACGAAAAGGTTGGCGTTCTTTTTTTAGAATATTACAGTATTTTGTTGTTTATGGCACCTGTCGCCTAAACTTCTAGTTTAGTAATTATAAGGCGAAATCACGTGTTTAAAATACGTCATTTATTCACCACTGGAATTAACATAAGAAATATTGTATTGAAGCATATTTATCAAAAGACGAAATATCAGTCTTCAAGACTGCTAACGAAATTTCATTAGGGAACACGAGTTGGATAATCAAGCAACATCTTCGTCCGCCTAAATTAAACAGTGAGCTGTTTTTTAGTTCTCGTTTTATTTATTTGTTTATTTGTTATTTTTGAGCCGATTTTGTTTCGCGCTTTCAGAGTTAATTATATTGCTCCAAAGTTGAAATTTTCAGTCGTGCAAGAAGAAACAAACTGATAATCTAGTGAGTTGAAATGATCAAATTGTTTGTCACTGGTGCACTTTGCAACAGTGAAAAGTTGAATTATCAGAATTTATGTCAGACACCTTGCAAAAAAATGGAAGATTTAATATTTTCTCCAATGCAAGGCACAGTTATATATCAGAGCGAATTGCGTTCCCGATTCGACGCAGCATGCTGTACAGAACGATAACTTTTCATTCTTCTCATTTCGTTCGACGTTTATAACAGATCAGGTTTGAGTGAAACTTCTCTTAAACTGATCTAACTATATCTGCCGGGTGAAGCTTAAAAACATTCAAGTCACAGTTTGTCGTATTAGCACTTTCATGAAAATTTCTGGCCTAAAACTTGCTTTAGATTATTATTGTTCATGCATTAGTTAAATGCCTTTCCTTCTTTTGTTTTATTTTCAGCACTGTTTGCCGTAACATGCCATAATACGAACCCTGGTCAAGAAATTTAAACCACAGTTTAACTTCGATCCGGTGGGTTTTTATTTTGCATGATTTTTTTTCTCAAGTAATCCCCTAATGACTAGCCAGCTTGTCTCCAGTCTTTGTTCAAGTTATTGAAGCATTTGTCCATTGTAAGTGTCATCACCCGTGCGCGCAAATCAATATTCCCAGAAGAATCTGTTAAAACTTCAAAAGCTGTGCTGTGGTAAATCAGCGACATTTATAAGATAAGGATAGTAAGGATATTTGGAATTTGATAATTCTAGACTATCTCCGTTCGTGTTTCTAGCCTGTCTAATTTCATTTCTTTTCGTTTTCTAATAAATTTAGTTTCTAACTTTCATATTTACCGCGAGACTGATCATGTTCTTAAAAAGGCGAAAATCATGATTCAAAATGCAAAATGGCAGCGGCTTTTTAAATTAAGAACCAAATCTCAAAACAAACTGACAAAAACAAAACAAATGTGAAAACAAAATAGATAACAAAAAAAAACAGTTCTATCTCAATTTAGTTCTTGACGAGCATGCATGTAAGCTATATCAACATCTCTCAACCGATTTCAAAAGTTATTACTTGTGTAGACTAGAATATCATAAACCCTTCGGCTAAATTTAAGTTTCTTAAGTTTCCGCGCGCGCTTTAGCGTTAGCGGATGCTCAGCCAGGTTGCAGGAAGTAGCTCATGTCGTTTGTGATGATTCTGCAAAAAAGACGCGTGACTTGTATATGACTGTATCTGTATCCAGCGGTATACAATTACTAACATTAGTCTTTCGTTGACACAAGCTGGCCAATACTATTTTATCTGTCCTTTCTCGTTCTTTTGCTTGTAGTTACATCATACATCGAAGTTCGCACTCGCTGTAAATTTAAAATCGCGGAAAAAGACGTTTCGTGATACAAAGATCGAAACAACTATTCGGTACAAAGAGGCGGACGCTGCAATGTCGATGTCGGTGTTTACATAGCATCGATCCTAAATCAAGCGAATCAAATCATCACAGTTCTCCGTGTTACCTTTCAGATCTTGGGAAAAGAGAAAAATCTGAATAAGAGGAACAAAAGAGGACTATCTGTACTTAAAAATGTGGGATTTCAAGCATTCTTTGTGGTTTGCTTACTTGATTTGCATCACTGGTGGGATATATGGCCATCAACGACCGAACTGCGAATATCGATCGAGAGAGAAGGTACTCGTTTGCAAGGAAATAATCGATCCGGAACGGATCGCCCAGAACATTTCTAAATCAACAGAGCGGATGTGAGTATCCTTTTAATTTGATTTAACGTTCTGTTCATGCCTGTTTTAGCCGGTGATGAATATAATATGTAGTGCGTCTTGCCCGCTATATGTAAATGTTGTGACTTGCTTCGAGATGAGACAGTAAGCAGTTCAATCGTTCAGCTTTGTGTTCGTTAAGGACCAAAAGCCAGGCAGACAGAGTAAATGAAAATGAAATTTGTGTCTTGTAACTTCCATGACATCGTGGTTTGGATCCTCGATGTTTTGAATCGCATTCATTAACTGCAATCATAAACCTACTTGGGAACCATCAAATTAACACAGTATGAATGATGTGATATGTTACCAGAATACTTGCTACTACGTTTGATACTCGTTGATTGAACACCAAACTTAAGGTCTGATAAGCTGCCTCAGAACCATATTTCACCTGGGAAGACATTTTACTGTTTTCGAGGTTGCGAATATTGCGTAGTGAATAATACCGAATTCGAGGTCACTTTTGAAGTTGATGATTACGCAACTTAAAATGAGAGGCCTTGTTTCAATAACCTTTCCTATTGACAGCATTTCGGCAGTTTTAAGGTGAACCGTATTTTTATTTCGAAAAAATTGAAAGCAAGCGACGAACTTGATCCGCGGACAGCATTCCTATTCTTCTCTGGCATTTCCGAAATATTTTCTGAGCGAATCTCACAGTACTGCTAAGGTGAAAAAAATGATGTGCTAGGTAATAATTAGAGGCAAATCACTAACAGATATCGAGTTCGAGTTGATTAGAATTTTATTTTTCGATCTCTCTTCGAGAGATTTTATAGATTTTGACTCTACGTACAATCACTTCCTTGTGTAGTTAAAAATAGTACTTATGTCACCGTCTGCGCGCCAGGGTTGTCAAATGTCGACCTATTGATTTTGAGCTTTTTTGTCAATAATATTTTTTGAATTATTCCATGTACGCGAGATGTAGCTGCTGGGTATTAGAGTGGATTATCTCTTATGCTAATTTTTTTTATATGTTTTCCTGGCGATATTGAGTTCGCTACTTCTAACAATAATATTATATCGAAAAGACTGAAATGGCAACGAATGGCCTCAAAACTTTTGTTCGCATTTAGTTTATAGCAACATTGTGTCGCGCACACATCAATGTAGATTAGAAATGCGTAAAAACATTGATAAGTTCGATTACTATCGGGACGAACAGAAGAAAATAAGCAGAGGACACTATACGTGTATTTGCCAGAGTGGCAGACGGCTATCGCTTTAACTTTGACCCGTTGTCAACTCGTTTAAGATGTCTACTTTGACCGGTTGGCAATATTGAGTTCGTAATAAATTCTAACCTCATATCTGAAGCGCTAGCAACAAACTGATCTCAAAACATTTATGCACATTAGGTCTTAGCTACATAATATTTTGAAGACACACTTGCTATTATTAGAGATGAAAAAATGCGTTTTGGACCGGTGGGTTTGACGGGAAGTAGTAAAGCTTGTCTTATTTGATCGCGATTTAGAAAACCCGTTGAATGTTCAGACCTCAAAAAAGGTTTATTTTTACCAGTTTGGTTTTACCCCGTAATATCAACACCAATACTCTGGATATGTACACGAAGTGCTATTAACAAAAGTTGCTAAGAAATTGCCTGAATGTTAATTTTGCGGTCCACTGCAATCTTCTTTCTTCTAATGTTGTTTTGTTTCCGGTTGGAATAACATGGATCAGGAGATGTGAAATTATTTTATTGATCGTAGGAACGCATTATCAAGAATACATCTGCTGTCTGTATATTAGTTTGAACAGAAATAAGACTGGAAGCCGCGAGCATTTTTAATTAGTTCTCTTCAATAGTGGATTTTTAAGAATGCGGCTTAGTGATGCATTTCCTTTCTTCGAGTATGTTTATTTGTAATGTCGCTTGGTGTTGTGCGAAAAAATATCCTTCCGTGTTCGTGACCACAGATTATGTGGAAGTTTTAGGTTCTTTATAATCATTGTTTCAGCATTTGCGGGTTTAGGTCAATTCGAAGACTAGTTAATTTTAAAAACTTCAATCGCAAACTATTATTAATAGCGGTAGCCATTCATATTGACAAATTCCTTTCGTGACAACTCCTTGGAAAGTCCGTTTCATTTTTCTTCAACTTTGCTAAGGGAAGCTTTGGTGTTAGGGACAACTTAAAAAGGAAAATTTTTTTCTTAAGTCCTAAGATGGCTTCTGAAAGTACATGATACTTTCGAGGGTAATTGTGGAAAGCTTGGTCCTAAACTTGCAAATTTTACTTGTGTTGCGCGTACGATTTTCTCGAGACAGATTCGAATGGAATCGCAGAGGTGAACCTTTTCTCGGAAACCTCTTAAGATAAATGTGATTTTGGGACTTTTTCGGAAAATGTTTCATTACCATTTTGTTAATGGAACGAATGTTTAAGACATTAGTGGAGGACTTTCATGTTGTCAAATCAAGAAATAGCCTTCAAAGAGCCTCGAAAATGCGTGGGTGTTAAATTAAAGAACGTCGTTGACTGATCTCAAACTGTCCCTGTCGACGATTGTTATTCGAAAAAACAGTAAGGTTATTTATGTCAATCAGTTTTTATTTTGAGCACCGTATTGTTCTTCGGTAACGCTGAAAGTGAAATTAATTTTGATTTCAATGTCTGGTAACGAAGCCGTGTTTTATCATAGAAATAACGCGTGATTTTCAAAAACGAAAAATTCAAATTGCTCTCATTTATGCACGTCATTTGCATGCTCTGTTTTTGTTGTGCGTGTTTTGATTATCGCTTTATTGTATACTTCAAGAGCTGAGTCATTGCTGTTGTTTATGACGCATGCAATTGACGTAAAGGTATATTTCTTTTGTTTATCTAATTGCTACAATGACTTTCATTTTTATTTGCTACGAGTCGCGTGTTACTCGCGAGTGAGTCTCGCTTGGTGCGATTATCTAGCTAGGTTGCGTGGTTTTAGTTTTCTTTATAGCTTAAATTTATTTTTCTTTTTTCTGTGATGTGGTAATGTAACTAAAACTTGGATTACAACCAACACTAAGGTAACAGACAATGCAACTGAAGATAGAGTCTTTTCGAAATTGCTTCAGCGGTTTATTTATCTTTATAAACTTTCATTTGAGAGTCACCTCCTTGATTCACCTGCTCGATGACACCGCACAAAATTTCATTCCTAGGAAACTTAGGTATAGAGCGAAAGAAATCATGAGTTGCACTGACAATTGCGCTAAAGAAACGAAGCAACAGCTGCTCGTAGTCGTAGTCAGTTTGGAGAAGAAGAACTCGCAAATTGCGCAAAACAGCCAAGTTTGATATCAGTCGAACCCTTGGGGCCGTTTCTTGAAAGTCCCGATAACTTTACGGGTCCGAAGCCATGTTTTAAAATATAAAAAAAAAATGTTTAAAAATATAAGGATAATAGAGCGGGTTTTAGCTCAAAAAGCAATAATTTCCATATAATTTCTTGATATTTCTCTGTTTGATAATAAAAGCCATCGATATGTCGATCTCAATGTACACACGACCGACAGAAATAAGCTCCTTGGGATCGATAATTTACTGGGTCTATCGAGAAACAGGCTTCAGAGACCCGTTTCACAAAGGCCCCTGTAACGTACCCGCGAAGCCATATTCCAAATGAAAATTTAAAGAGCAGATAAGCAGGTTCTGGCACCTCAACAAATCCATTTTGTCTTTTTTTAGCTGATAGTTTTGTCATTTGAAACCTCCTTCCTGAATGAAAACATGACGGCTTTACCGCCCGTTAAGTTTCTGTAATCTACGAGAAAAGGGAACCTGGACGTAAGATTTTAGAGCGAAACATGAGGCTGTAAATGAATCACACGGATGGGTAACGCTGTAGATCGTAAGGGCCATGGCATGCCTATGACCAAAACAGGGTTTACATTTTCATGCAGTTGTAAATAAAATCGGCTGATTTTAAATATTGCCTCAAATTTTATCTCCCAGAGTTTTCACGTCAGATTCTTTGGCTTGTGACTGCTCTTTGAAAACGTTGTTGGAATGGAAGGAAGAATTATCATCGGCAAGAAATGTTGCCCTAGAAGGTATTTGTTCTTCTCCAAAGTACCCCTTGGGACGATCCATAGGCAGCCTCTCCTCCACAGACATTTCATGTGGTAAGTGCATTTCTATAAGAGTCGGCCATGACTGACATGTCCTGGAATGTGTCAGTACTAAAATTCAGGTTGATCTTTGCAGACAAGCCATTTAATCCTCTGTACTTTCCTTTGTACCTTTCGTACAGTTTTAGTTTCTGGAATTTGTTGTTAAGTCACAATGTTCTTCACTCGATGACTTTATTCGTCCTCGACGCATGTTTCGTTGAATGCGAATTGATTCACCCCTAGGGAAGAAAGAGTCCAATGCATTTTGTTTCAAATACTATCCCAACTAAGTTTGGGGATTCTGCCACCGGTTAGCGAAATTATACAAAACTACATTTAAAAAAAGGGTAAAGAGTGAAGTCTATGACCTTTAAGTGTAGGACCTTCAAAGACGTGCAAGGAAACCCGTCTGAAGTAGGCAACAACTGACTAATTAATTCACTGTTGATTCATCAGCGTTTCTAACCCTATCTTTCCTTTTTTCAGTGGGTGCTGATGATGCTTTGCTTATACGCAAGAGACGAGCTGGTAAGGAACTCTTGGGTCATAACGTGTTTCTGTCGAAAAGACCTCGCTTTGATCCCTCGAGTCACACCTAATTGAGTATTTTGCCTTGTAGTTGCAGTGTGAACAGAAATTTGCGTTGCACTAGTCTTGCAAAATGGACTGTGGAGAGCTCGATGATGATTCCTTTTAAATGACTGAATATCTTTTATTAGTACTTTTTTCCAAAAATATTTTCCACTCATTTTTTTTTTGTTCTTGTTTTTCTTCAGCTGGCGAAGGCCAACAACCGAATGCAAACAAAACTTATATACCAGGTAACATGCTTTGATTGTTATCTCCACCGCCTTTAACCCGTGAGTGACCAAGACGGAATTTCTCCTTACTTTATATATACAATATCATGCAGACAAGTGATGAGATTAAAGAAAAATGTCAATCATGGGATTACTAATTGATCCGATACCAAATTCTCCAGACTAACATATTGAGAATCGTTTTGCAGACAGTAAGGAGAATTACTGATGAGATCTTGGGAGTTAAGGTTAAATGTTTATCCTTGAGTTGATCTTCACAGGTGAACATCAGCTCACTCAATCGCGGAATGAAAGTTTTGTTAATTTTTGTTTATTAACACAAAAGAATATTGTTTCAAGATGTCGGTCGATTGCACGGAACGTCCCTCAGCAATTTGTCACATTTCCTTGACAGTTCAAATATGACACCAAGTTGTGCTCCTAAGTGGAGATAAGCGTCTTGGAACACATTTATGTTGTTTATCGGGAGGGAGGTCCGTATGGGATAAAATTGTATTCAAGACCGAGGGCATAGTTTTTTCCCATGCGGGCCGACCTACACTAGTACAAACTTTTTCTTTTTGCCAATGGTTTGCATTTTTCTAATTTGTCTGGAGCGTGATCCGTCTTTTAAAAAGATGGAGTGGTTACGATTAGCCAAACCGATTCGAGGATTTACGGTTGCGGCCCGGTGAGATGCTTCGGGAAAAAATAAACAAAATAATCTGGCTGGTTGAAACCTTACTCCGCATTCCACAGCATTAAAGGAACCTTCCGTTGATCGCTTTCTCCTTTCATGTAATTTTTATACTTTTTTAAAATTTTTAGATGCACCCTTATGGCCGTGTGACTTTGAAGAAGGATTTTGCCAGTGGTTTCAGTCACATAATGGTGATTTTCATTGGAGAAGATACAAAGGCGGGACACCTTCCATGAATACTGGCCCAACTACGGATCATACCAAAGGAAATGGTGAGGAAAATAACATTGTACCCAAACAAACCAAGACTTCAAATCTACTCTAAGAGTCTATTGAATTTATTATCGGAACGTTTAATTTACCATTAAAGAACTTGCTGATACGATTAACATGTATCTGCTGTGCTTCGTTTTCCTGGAACATTAAAAGATCTAGCAACCCGAACAAATGATTTTATCCGAAGTCCATGCTGTTAAACACGAAGCCACTGCATTTCCCTATCAGTGCACGAGTTAGATATAATAATTGGACGTCTAAATTTGTTTCCCGTTTCTTGTATTTCACAGCTGATGGATATTATATCTACATTGAAACGTCTCTGCCTCGACGGCGTCATCACAAGGCGAGACTAGTTAGCCCAACGTTGGCCCCCGTGAATCCGAATACCACTTGCCAGGTCAGTTATTATTCATCTGTAAGACTTTTCAATTGGAGACGGTTACTAATCCGGAATTAAGGGGAGCAAGTTTCTAAAGAAACTGTGGTGTTGCGTGGGGGGGTGGCCATCACAAAATTATTTGGTTTTATCAACTGGCTTGATAGTGTAAATTAGAAATTGTAAAGATTTTATCAAGTTGATGTTTCGTTAGCCCCTCGTCAGAGTGAATGAGCTAAAGATTAGATCTGATTCGGTTGATTTTGCTTATCTGCGCTCTGTGATTGGTCGGGAAAATTTACGCGGCCTTTCCAACTAATCAGATTTAAGACCAAAATCAATCGTGAATTGGTCACAAGCGTTTCTCCCGTGTCATGGCAGTTTTTTTTTGTTATGACTCTGAGTTCTTATCGGCTCATTATGAATTCCAACTTCAGAGACAGAGTCGATGTTGTCGCAAAATAAGAACTCCGAAATGGCATAGCAAATGTGTAAACATCCAGGTGACGGGAAGTTTGATTCCTTTTTTTTTCTCTTCTCACTTTTATCAGCTGGATTTGTTTATCCACATGAAAGGACGTCACATAGGTGCACTCAACATCTATCAACAACCAGTCGTAGGTTTTCCCGTCAAGAAACTGTCACTCACAACAAACCAAGGTCCCGACTGGTTTAAACGGCAAGTTCAGTTCGACAGTGACACGGAATTTCAGGTTTGTAAAAACATGTCAAACAGATGTGTTTGAAACATTAAGCCATAATCACTGAGAAGGGAATTGATCACTGAAAGACTTATGATATTTTTATTGTCTCTGGGATTTGTATGTTCTGCATGACCCAGTCTTAGCGTTTCTAATGATCTAAGCCAAACTCCACAATTGCACAGTTGGCCTGTTTTGCGTGTCATTTTCAAATCACACACTTGCGATTCGCATTATTGAACGTGATCAAGAGGAAAGAGGAGGACAGAGATGGATGCTCCTGGCCTTATTTTCTTTTGACAGGATTAAATCTTATTTAAATCTGCAGTACAACTGAGCAGAAATCAACCCCTAAATATCAAACTTGCTCCCTATTGCCCGATAATGAAAAACTATAAGCAACAAGACGAAGTTTCCTGGAGTGGTTTATAAAGAGTGCCAATGTTGTTTTCATTCAAATCGCTTTAGCTTACTTCTAATTTGTGGTTAGGCAAGGTTTATTGCAACTTTCCACCCAAATTCTATCAGTTCTTGCAGACTGACAGGAGAAGTCAATGTACTCGCAAATTAAGAGGTTTTAAGTGAGTTGATTTTTGCCTGCAGGTCATAATTGAAGGTGTACGTGGCGCTCTATACCAGGGAGACATCGCACTGGACGATATTTCATTTACAGCTGGCTGTGAAAGACTAGGTATGCAAAATTGAACCACCCTCTTATCTGTTTCTTGTACTTTAAAAATGTGCATTCAGGTCGGTGTGATTGTTTTAACCTTGCTTAGTGGCTCGGGCTAAAATGACTTTGAGTCGGGTTCAAAATATACTTATGCCCGCGAACACAAATTTTATAGTTGTATTACCAACGTTTTACCTTAATTACCAAACTTTTGGTTTATAAATTTATAAGGTGCTCAGTTCTCACAACGATTTTCCTGCGCACATGATGCCTAAAATAAGTTCACGTTCAACACTGCAATTCTCAGTTTGCAAGATGGATGTAATTGAAAAGAGAGAGAAGCATTCTAGCATGGAATCACCTTCTTATCTTTTCTCTCCTAGCGCCGTCCTATGTGCGTCTCGTTAATGGTTCAACATTCAATGAGGGCGCGGTAGAGGTATATCACCAAGACCTATGGCAACCAGTTTGCAGTGACGGTTGGAGCCAATCAGAGTCCTTCGTTGCTTGCAGAGAACTGGGATTCGAAAATGCATCAACAGAAGGTAATCTCTGTTTTTCTTGATACATAAGCTCTTAATGATAAAATTTTTGTGAGTTACATTTGGTTAAGTGTTCAGTCACTCAAAGTAGACCTAAGCTTTAACTTCAGGGAGTAACCAGTAATTTATTCCTCCTTACAATGTTAACTAATTATTCAGTATGTAGGTGATGCAAGTGAATTAGAATCATTACTTGATTCTACAGTGTTTTAACAGTAGTGTGTCGCACACAGTGAGGTTAATTGATATTAAGGTCCAGAGACACAAGTCTGAATAATCGAAAAATCCGGATAATCAAGATTTCACTATAATAAGTTAGCTGTGGGTTTTTCGTCGTCGATACTGATTTTATTCGCTGGGCAGACTCTCACTTATGTCTTTTGTTAATCCTTTTAGGTACACCGCTGATCGGCATGTTCGCTGGACTCTCCAACGTTAGTTGTAAAGGCGATGAGACTTCAATCAAAGATTGTTCTCTTAGAGAGAGTTCTAAGAACGTAACTTGTCCTAGAAACAGCACAGTTACAATTCAATGTGCAGGTAAGAGCGGTAATTCATTTAGTGGTCTTTATCTATCTTGGCTTATTCAGTCGGCGGATGAACTGTAGATGACTGTATTTTCAGAATTGTGTTGTTCCGCTGTGATGTTCAGTTTTTCTCCACTCATCTCAGTCCATATATCTCCTAAATGTCCGTCTTCAAAATGAAATTGGCCTTAAATCCGCCGCAGTTAATGTGCAAAAGCAATGAAAATTTTTTTAAACATTTTAATGCGAATTTTCTTTCCGTGGTTAATTCTTTATTCATGAGGAGATTTGCTGGGTTTTTTTTATGTATATATTTTTGAATATATATTTCCTTTTTCCAGGTATCCTTCCTGTATGTCCCTTAAAAACCCACTTCCATTGTCCGGTGGATGGCAGCGGTAACAAAGCGTGTATTTCTCGGGCTCAACTATGCGACTTTACTAATGACTGCTGGGATGGCTCTGATGAAATTAACTGCCAAAATTACACGCGTTGTGATTTCAACGACACAAACATCTGCGGCTGGCTTCAGGCTAAAAACGACCACATGAACTGGACACGGCACAAAGGCAATACACCATCCATCTTCACAGGTAACTTGAGATGACAGATAGCGTGAAAAAAAATGTGCGGCTAGGCGTCTTTTTTTTGCGCGCTCCTCGTCTCGCGTGGAAATGGCCTTTTGCGCTGTGCTAGCTATTTCCTCTTGTGTACCCTGCTCGCCTTGAAAGTTGCCTTTTCTGCAGGCTGTAGGAATATTTCAGTAACATAACAACAAGCAAGGTCTGCGAGTCATCTTTCCCTCGTCAAGTTATCCATTGGCAAGTTTGAAATTCTTCGATTGAGAAGTTCTCACGCCACCGGCAAGTTTTCTGTCGATAACTTTATACCGTTGACAAATCAAATTTCCTTGTCGCATTTCACCTTAAGATTTTCTTTGGCAAGGTAGATCTAGAATTATAAGCAAAGTTCCCTGGTATGAAACTTCAGTGAGATGCCCAAAGAAAAGGTTGTTACGGACGACATTTACTATTGTAGCTGTTGATTACCCACACGGTACTTGTGTATCGTGTACTTGTCTGGGGTATAATAATAACTTTTTCCCTAAGCGGCTGCTAATGGTGTGACAGAGGGATGTGCTACAAAAGGGACCCTAAGGCGCAACACACACACGAAAGCCTGCTCGCAGCCGGGCGAAACAGACGGCGGTAATAGATAATATCGGTGGCGGTAGACCGCTGGTAACCAGCTTTGGAGGAAACCGTTAATGACAAATTTCCTTGGAGTAAACCATAGCCGGGATTATTTTACAGTTTCGCTGTTTGAAAAATTTATACCTATATTTGCAATTCTTTCTTAAAGTTATTTCTTGCTGCCTGAATTTTTAACATGAACAACAAAGAACATATGTCAAGGTTACTTTTGTTTAAATTTCAGGTCCATCAGCTGATCATAACGGCAATGCCAATGGATATTATTTATACATGGAGGTGTCCGGTCGACAGGGTGGTGAAAAAGCCAGAATACTCGTCACTCCGCGTTTTCGAGGTTGATGAATAATTGCCTAATCATTCAGTGTTTAGATGCCTTTTGTCTGCCATTAAAATATCCTGTATTTCCACATTTCTATCTTTGTAAATGGTTTACCAAGTAGTGCAGTTGTTCAAGTTAATAAATTCTTGTTTTCACATTTTATTGACTTCACAGGCGATAACAATGGTCTTTGCAAGCTTCGCTTTCACTATCATTTGTATGGAATCGGGATTGGTACTCTCCGTGTGCAAGCCGCTGACCGGTACTCTCAGAGGACGCTGTGGACGAAGTCTTATTCGCAACTTGACGATTGGAGCCGCGCTGAAGTGCCTTTGTTTAACATGTCATCCTCGTTTTATGTGAGTTCTTATACCAGCATTTATTGAGAATTCCTCTATCGAAATTGATCATAACTATTTCGTTGCTATCTCTCAGACTGTTTAACAGTTGGTGTAGGGTCGAAAAGAGCCTGGAAAGGACTGTAAGAAAAGACTGTAAGGCTGTTGACCTCATCTTTTTCAGCTTTTCTTATGGGGGAAAGAGAAGGAATCCACACACACGATTAGAGAACTTAGACCTGGCGGGCATGATATGCATTAAGAGTGACCAGCATCTAATTTCTCCTCGCAAAATCACCCCTGAATCAAACATTAAGGTCATGAGAATAAAGGAAATGAAGAAGCTCTTGATTGTTAAACTAATTCTCCTTATCTGCGTCTTAGGAAATGTATAGAGAACAGTAGGGAGAATATGCATACCGATGTTAGGGTGTAAAGGGTTAAGAGCACTGCAATTAAAAAAGTGCCTGTCATAACCTTTATTACAGATCACAATTTGCGCAGAGATTCTAGCACAACTTACCTCTTCTTAGCGCTGCGTCACTTTTTAACTCATTGTCTCCTTGTAAAGGTTATATTTGAAGGCGAGCACAGTGGATTCAGTCCGCACGGGGACATAACGATTGATGATATCTCGTTCACACCGGAATGCCGAGCTGCGCCCCACGGTACTGCGAAATAATTCTTGTCTTTCTTTTAGAAAGATAGTTGTTGTCTTATGAATCGGTTTTTTAACGTCTTTTCTTGCATTTCAGAAAACGTCACCTGCAAGGATGGAACCTTACAGTGTGGAAGTGGCGAATGTATTCCTTTGTCCAAACAGTGTGATTTTGCCGATGACTGTTTTGACGGCTCGGACGAGTTAAACTGCGGTACGTTATTCAATTGAGCGGCCATCTTTGACCTGCGCGTGCTAAATACTTGTAAAAATTTAAATTTACATGTAACTGAATATTACACTTTTAACGCTACACTGACGAATATAACCTCTGCAACTCGAGGCCAGTTGCAAATGAGTTTGAACGCGAACAAGAAGTGAGATGTGCCTATAATGAGTGTTTTTTTTTACTTTGAAACCCTGGGCTTTTCAGGTCTTCAAACACCCGGCCGGTGTGACTTTGAGGTCGACATGTGTCACTGGCAAAACTTGACAGATGATGATTTTGACTGGGAGAGACACACGGGAAGCACAGCAAGCTTTAACACTGGACCCTCTTACGATCACACTAAGGGCTACCGAGGGGCTGGTAAGTGACGGTTATCGAATGACAGGCAGTAACGGAGAAACTGAAGATAATCGAAAAGCGTATAAAAGAGGGATGATGGGGGGGGGGATGTTCATATGTCCCTCTACCCTTCCCTTCTAACCTACGGGAATATGTTTTACGATGAAACCATGTTTTCTCCTATTCGTTTTTCGGTCGCTATCTGTAAGTGTAAACATTTTTATATGCTAACTTCCGGTGTGTTTATGAACCAAAAACAGCAAAGAAGGAAATAAACAAACAAACAAACAAACAACAGTAACAAAAAGTAAAAAAATATATATATACAGGAATAACATGTCGTAGCTCTTTCTCAAGAAAACGGAATAGAAAGTGGAACGGAATTTTTACCGATGCAATTTAAATCTCTTAAAGGAGTGTTTAAATTTCTTCATTCTTTAGGTCATTACCTATACATAGAAGCATCGAGTCCTCGAGCGCGAGGGCATATAGCAAGGGTCATCAGTCCGCAGTTTATGTGGCAGAATGTGGCTGGATGCACGGTAAGTATTATTGGTCGAATTTCTTTGCATGTAGTAAATGCGTCTCATGCTTAAGATTATGACTTGTTAGGAGATTTGACCTCCGAAGGTGCTGACAAGTAAATCGTGGAAGGGCTTCGCACAGTTTTGTGAAATGCTTATGTATATGATCGTCTCGCGGTTTTGAATACAATGTAGTATTTGAAGGTCGAAAGCGCAATGTCTAGACTGGGTAAACTAACTCGCATAGGTTTTTATATAGATTTGATTACCTCAAGTAGACCATTCAATTACAACCGGGCAAAAAGAAATATTTTAGACATTTGCTACCAGCTCAGGACAAAGAATGGATTTTTTTTTTTTTGAGGATTTCTCGCTTGTGACAAGTCGAAAAAAACGTTCATAATTTTATCTTTCTCAAAAAAAGTCGGACATTTGCATTGGGCAGAATGCCTAATATTCTCGCCACTTTTACTTGCAAAGGCTAAAATATAGTAGATTTCTAATATTACCAGCATAAATACGAAGGCTCTCATTGGTCGAAGATCACATGCGCTCTCCTCTAAAGGGGATAGTGCCTTAGCTTAAGGCGGAGCTAAGAGAAAAAGGCGTCGTAACTTGTTGTTTAATCTATTGTTTCTGATATGACACCTGATTGTAGTCTTGATTCGTGAAATAGATCATTTTATTTACTTTGTTTTTTTCAGCTTCGCTTTTATTATCACATGAGAGGATTGTGGGGATTTAGAACCGTGGGAACACTGAGAGTCATTTTGAGGAACACAATCACTGGTGATGAAACATCTCCCTTGTGGCAAAAATCTGGTAACCAAGGAAACCAGTGGCTCCGTGCAGACGTCAACATAAATACAAACTGGACAGTATCTCAGGTGAGGCCTAGGGCACAGGTCGTTGTTATGTTTTTTGTTCCTGTTCGTTGATTTTCTCAAAAATGAGAAAGATAATACAAAAACACCAACATCAGCAGTTCACAGAAAAACAAAGCGAACAAATGCCAAAAAAAAACATAACAAAACAGTCGTTTGAATGCACGCACAAATAAAAACGCTAGTAAATATGGGAATGTTGTAGGATCGCGTCACGAATAGGATGTTATTAATTTTAACTTAATTTACCGGTTTTGCACCGTTATGAAATCACCATCAAATTGATTTTTCAACTCGTGTAGTTCATTTGTCAGATGTAACCATTTTCTTTATCGCTTCAATTAGGCATTAAAATTATTCGATCAGTAAAAGAGTGTCGAGTTTATAACAAATGTTAGATTTTATTTTCGTAGGTAGCGTGAGTTGTGTCTTGGATGTGTATACCTTGGAATTTTCCACGCCTTATAAAGTCAACTAACACACATTTAAACTTCAGGTTATCATTGAAGCTGAGAGAGGCTACACATTCCACGGTGATATTTCTATTGATGATATATCCTTCTCGCCCCAGTGCTACCCGTCCGAAGGTAAGGAACAGCCTGTGAGCATTCGATCGATCACTCATCACCTGGTTGTAATTCCATAACGTATGGGTCTCTTTCAAGCAAGAGGGTTCTGTTTTGAAGGAAGTACAAATCAGTGCATTGTCTGCCAATTTATCTTTTGTGACTTTCTGTCAAGGCTCTCGATGGTTCATCACTAATTTTTAACAGTAACCGCAGGCCTCTTATTGAAGATCATTCTTTAAAGCGCTTAAAGCGAAGCGATAAATGCTAACAGTCTGGATCAATGTCAATGTCTCAGCAACTGCTCACCTACCCCTTCCTAACCCAGCAACAATTAACTGAGAACAAGTAAGGGTTAATGTTGTGTTAGGGGAGGGGTAGGTTCGTAGTTGCTTATGTACTGACTTTGATCCTGGTTTCTTGGGAGAAGGTCGACCACCAATATCGCTACTGGAGCAACTCTAAATGATATTAAAGCATACTACACAAGGATGTAAAGAAGAACACTGAATCTCTTGTGCGGAATCGAAGTACGATGAGTACGTATCATTTTTATCTTTCTTTTACTTTAGTCGTACACCTATACAAGAATTATGACGTCCGTCTAACGGATGGAAAAGCTGGCTCGTTCGAGGGACGCGTAGAGATATACCGTGTAGGTACCTGGGGCACAATCTGTGATGATGGCTGGGGCCACGATGATGCCGAAGTCGTTTGCAAACAACTGGGGTACGGAGGAGCTAAATACATCCGTGCAGGTTCGCATTTTGGCGAAGGAAGGGGTATTATTTGGTTGGATGATCTCGCTTGTTTTGGGAACGAGACAAGCCTCGGACGGTGTGCTCACAACGGTTGGGGGAGTCACGATTGTACTCACTCACAAGATGCTGGTGTCATCTGCGATAAAGGTACCATAGGCCAGAGAAAACGATAATAAGCAAGTTTAACGTTCCCTCACTACTACACCGGTATTTCGTTGAAACCTCTCAATTTTTCGATTGAATTTTTGAACAGACCAAACAGAGACGCGCGAAAATTCGAACGAGAGCACGCAAATTAGCTTATCAAGGAAGAAAATTGAAAATTCTTAGTTACTTAGTTACAATGAAACGGATGAACAGTTCAGCAATTGCTTCGTTCAAGCTTATAGTATTTATGTAATTGTTTCTCTTGTTCTTCTCATTGCAACATCTAGATAGCGGTAGTACAAAATCATTAAGGCTACAGGACAGTAACACTACCAACAGTGGACGAGTAGAAATATATCGCGGTGGCTCATGGGAACCGATTTGCTACGATGGCTGGGATATCCATGATGCCTTTGTGGCGTGTAGACAGCTCGGTTTTCCTGGGGCCGAAAGCATCACTTCTGAACCCGTGGGAAGCGTCACTCGCTCACTGAAAAAAGTGCAATGTCGAGGAAATGAAGATACTTTGGGAGACTGTGCCAATAATGGTTGGAACGAGGGAAATTGTAACTATGGGTTTGCTGGCGTGATTTGTTCTGGTAAGTCACTGGAGAAAAAAAAATCACCTTGCACAAGCTTAGCTGCCGTGTGCTAATCGGGGTTTTTGCGGCATGGAGCAGGGTACAATGTCTTTTACTCCCCTGGATCGCGGATAACCGTTCAGTATTTTTTCAGGTTCCCTTTACTGAAACTTACTATAGAGGCGGTAAAAAACAGTTTTCTGTGACTAAACACAAACCATTTTTGTCTGACTTGTCAGTTTTGTTTATTGTAGAGAGAGGAACAGCGGAAGGAAATATCCGACTCCGAGGCGGCAGCTCCGAGAGGGAGGGTCGTGTGGAAGTGTTTCACAGAGGAGAATGGGGCACAGTTTGTGATGACGCCTGGACAGAAGCAAATTCGCGAGTCGTCTGCTATGAGCTTGGTTTCACAAGCGTGAGGAAGGTTTATCAGAGTTTTGGTCCCGGTAGTGGACGGGTGTGGCTGGACAGGGTCAACTGTCGTGGAAACGAGAGCGCTCTCGTCAAGTGTGGTAATTCGGGATGGGGAGTCACTTCTTGTAGGCACTCAGAAGATGTTGGTGTTATATGCTCAGGTGTGTTTAACGATTTGTGTAGCGGCCTTTTTTTGTAAAATAAAAGAATCCCACGAGATGAAACGCCCAAATTCCCCTCAGTCAAATGGAAAACTCCACATGGAGTCAGTTGTCACGTGGTATTTTTCAGCCAAATCCACCTAATAAGATTTTTGAAAAATTTTAAATGCAAAGTTTAAAGTTTAATGGAAGTCACACACTTAAACCGCGTTTTATTCAAAAAGTGAATCGGTATTTATATGTTTACTGTAGTGTAAATCTTGGGCGACATATTACAAAAATGTTTTTACATGTTTCATTTCTAATGCATACCTCCACCTAGCCTGATTTTCTTACATGTTGATGACAGGGAATATTTGTTTCATTTTCAGACGAAGCCTATATTGGTTGCTACAAAGATACACAGAATCATGTTATGAGCCATCAACTTACATCTTCAGGTAAACCTAGATAAAACTCATGTAGATAAGTTCGGTACCGGTGAAATGTTTTTTTCTTTAAATTGTACGCCCCATTTTCTGGGTTTTTCTTGGACATTTTATGCTTTTCTAATTTACCTTTTTCCCAACCAAGATATGACTCCGGTAAAGTGCATACGTCGTTGTCAAAGCAAGGGCTTCATGTACGCAGGATTAGAGTGGGCTAATGAATGCTACTGTGGAAATCACGTGAGTAGTTTACATTCCCGTGGAGTTAGTTTCAATCGCGTGTCGTAAAATCCATCCAATGAGAGCAAAGGAAAATATTATAATGAACCAGTGACGACTCAAAATAAAAAAAGCAAACTGAACTCGCGGGAAAATGCGTGGAATTAAATCACGATAGACGTCATTTTAGCATCTGAAAGGTTGACGCTTTGGCGAGAGTTTGTTAGTGAAACGAAACAAAGCAGTCCTGGATGACTTTTTAAACCCAATTGAAGGTTGCAAGATGAAATGCAAAGTAATCCTCATAACTATTTTTTCTTTGTTACTGATCAGAAAGCCACTGAAAAATCAAATGCAAAAAATGGAAAAATAAAAATAAAATTTTCCGAAATTTGCGGTAGTTGTTGGAAAAAAGCGAGATTTTAAGGTATATATTTCTGGTAAACTTGAAAAAAATTTGTGTTTGCAGTTTGACAGATACGGTAATGCTACTTCATGCCAATTACCATGTCTTGGTGACCCCAGTAAAGTCTGTGGAGGGACCTGGGCACTATCTGTTTATCATACAGGTAAAAAGACATTTGTCAGTGGGTTGATTGATGCTGAAGTTAAATACCTCCAGCCTTTGAAAACTACGTCGTATAAATTACACGTTAGTGAGATCGTCGGAAAGGATTGTTTTTGAGAAAGGGGCAGTGAGGTATGAAAAATAATACTAATAATAGCAGCAGTAGCAGCACTAGCAGTACTGAGACGATCGAATAAGCGGGTGTGCGTCTCAGTGGAAATAAAAATCAACTTGGCCGTGATTTGAGAATCGTTAAGGTAATTAAATAATCACCATGCATTTTTGTTCTTATGATGATGATGCTAATGCTTATTACTGTTATTAGTATTTTTTTTAATTGTTTTTTTTATCTTCCGAACTTTTGATGAAATTTTTTTTCCTTCTAGATCCAGCGATAGTACCAACCCAAATTCCAGGTTACAGCCCTGTCACACAGAGTAATTATCGTTTTGTTTTCCTTATTCAAGCGTTTGATTTGTTCTCTATCTTCGAATGCCTTCTTTGAAACTTTTGCCTTTATATTCTCATCTTGTAAAATTGCTTATTGCATTCGATGGTTTTGTCTTGAGCCATTTTTTATTTTTATTTTTTATTTGCGTACCACTTTCATTTTTTTTTTTCGCTTCGCTGTCACTGTTAGTTGGCTTTTATCTAAACTTGATAGTCTGATTATCTGACCGACCGACCGACCGACCGACCGACCGACCGACGGACGGACGGACGGACGGACGTGGCCGACTGGCGAATTGACGGACTCTCTGAAGGACATACTGATGAGCGAACTAACCAGGTTACCGTGAACCTGACTCTTTGAAAGTCGCAAGGGTTGTTTACTCACTGACTGTCTACTCAGACATAGTTGTCTACATTCAAAAAGATCCTTTGAAAATGATGAAAATGTTGAAGAGTAGCATATTGATCTTTTAGGCTGTACAAGACGTATATTTTGGCAAATTCCTGATAAGTTCTACGCTGGAGATCATAGCAAGGGTTGGATATCATCGCCAGCCTTCCCGAACAAATACTACCATAATACTGTTTGCATCTGGGTTCTAAACTTACAGTCTGGCACACAAGCGAAGGTCACTTTTAAATATTTTCAGACAGGTGAGTTCATATGCTGAAAAAAAAAAAAGGTTTTTAAGAACACTTGTTTCTACCAAAAGTTCTGCCACTGTGTTGATCAAAAGAAATTCCTCTAACAAAATTTACTCGCAATAAAGTTTTATCAAAGGAAAAATATCAGGAAAAACGAGAAATATAAATTCGATATTGCCAATGGTTCCTCGGAAAGCGTTGAAATGAAGTACAATGAATTCGCACTCTTATACTGTGTATGTGTCGATTGAATTAGCGTACCACTTTCATTTTTTAATCGATGGATTCAATTTTTCCTTTTTTTAGAACAAAATTACGACAGTGTTGAAATAAGGGACGGCGACAAAGACTATTCAGAGCTCCTTACCCCGGCAAACGGATTCAGCGGAAATGTTACCCATTCAGTAACTGCCTCAGGCAATGTGATGTGGATTAAATTTAACGCTGATTACTCTGTAAACTATAAAGGTTTTAACCTTACATACGAAGCTGTTGGTAAGTTAGCTCGTGTATCCTACAACTTCTTAGTGTACTTAAACCGATAGAAGCGGTGTATCTTTATAAAACGTAAGAACTAAATAGTCATGTCGAATCGTTCTTGATGCACCTAGAGCGCCCTAGCGCACATAAGCAAGGGGCTTATATAGATTCTGTGCGTTAGTTGTCAGGCCTCCGCGTTCCGCCCGCATATGCTAGTGTCTAACGTTAAGTTTTTGTTACAGGTGGACCCACAGTTATTCCAACGACCTCATCGATGAGCACAACTATTCCGCCCTCACAACTACCACTTTATCAAATGGTGGAGGGAGGTAGGTAGTTTCCTTACAGTTTTGTCCTCAAATATTTCTATATTCTATTAAAGAAAAAATATTAGTCCATTTGTTAAGTATACTTAATTTGGTTTTTGATTCATTTATGATGGCTTTTCTCCTGCGCATCTTCATAGCAGTGATAAATAATGCCGTCTTCTCACAATGGAACCTATTTTCTTAAAGGATGTAACGGTATATCACACCGTGTGAACACAACATTTGGGTACTTGGACAAGTATCACAGCAGTGGGTTTGTTCAAAGTCCAAACTATCCCTCAAACTATGACAACAATCTGCTCTGCCGCTGGCTTATACGAGTTGCCCCTGGTTACCGAATACACTTGACAGTATCGAAAGAGGACGTCGATCATGAAGCTCATGTAGGTGGACTGGGCGACGAACTGCGCGTGGAGGACGAAACGTCAGTCAGGAGTTCTAGCGATTCCTCGGTACCTTGGTCATTTTTGTCAAAAGGATCTCTTGTACGTTTGGTGTTCGTGACTGACTCAGCGAACACTGGAAAAGGATTTTATCTCAGATATATAAGAGGTTGGTGGAATTTTTTTCGTGGTTGGAAAATTTAGCTGTTTTTCTTTGGCGTACTTGATATAGTGAGGAACACGGTGGTTAAGGGGATTACAACCGAACTCTGGACCGTGAGGACCTGGTTCGAGTCCTGGTGTAATCATTGTGTTGTGTCCTCAGGCACAGTGACACTTAACACTCGCTAAACACACGCTCGTGTAGACGCGCCAATGACGAGTGCGTGCGCGCTGGCAAGGTGAGGTAGCAATCCTCCCGGCATAATCACTTCCTGCTACAACAATCGTGAAAAGCTCGGCTTTGAACGGGTTACGTCACTCTTATTCCTAGCCTTAGCTTTGCCAATACATGAAATAGCAACGGCAGAGGATACTTTTGCGTCTGTGTAAACTTTGCGCGATCTTTGTGCTTTTGTGTCACTTTGTGTCATGTTCTGTATGTATTCTTGTCGTAATTGTCGCTTGTATAGGATTATAATTTGTATTGTTTCCGATAAAAACCTGCACGGCCACACCGACAACTCTAGGCTTTGTCCGTAATTCCGCACTGCTGGTCTTGCATGTATCTTGCAATGAAATGCTCACAGTTAACATTTGCTCAAGACAATAGCGTCACGCACATGCACTCGGATAATTTGAAACTGGTTGGCTTTTGTTGTTGTTGTTAAGGTTTTATTCAAATTCAAATTAATAATAAAATTTCAAACAAAAATTAAACCATACTCCTGTTAACACTAACAAATAGCTATATCAAAAGATAAACGATTCTGAGCATATATACTTAAAACTTCTGTTTCACACTTGGTTGAGCTGGGTTATGTTTCTCAAGAGTTCTCGTTTGATATAGAGTGGTTAATTTTGCAAAGGCATAGTATGGTAATTTTGAAATATCCAGCACAAGATTCTGTATCTATGTGTGCTGATATACGTTTTTCTGTTCCCTTGCTCATTTGATCATCATCAAATAAACTAGATTCTTGATTAAAATCTTCACTGAAATTGCGGTGAGATAATTTCCTAGAGACCTCTCTTAAAATTGTCTGCTGTGAATGACATGAACAACCAAGGTAGTTATACTTGTAAATATTAGACTCATAGCGACATCCATTTTCATCACTTGTCTGCGATGTGAAATGTCAGAAAGTCAGCTGTTGCCTTAAAATTCTCTTTAAATGCTAACCTCGCATCGTCGATCTCACCGCCAGATTCGTCGAAGCTCCTAAACTCTGTGCTGTTTTTATCTCAACCATCTTTCGACACAAGTTAGCAAATGCGTTTCTGGTGCATCAAGTCAAAAAATATTGGTAAAAGTCGTAGGAAAGAAAATCCGAAAAACGAATTAAAAACTTAAAAAATACAAGTCCTTGTTAACGTTTTTGCAGAGTGTTATTAGGTACGCGATGAGATTCTGTGAGAAATGAGTTTTAGAAAACATGAAATTTTCACCTAAGTTTTCCTCATGAGGTTTTCCAGCACGCTTCGACTTCTTACACTAGATGCAGTTTTCATGAAATGTTAAAGCTGAGCATACACGAGTTAATTGCAGACTAATTGAATGCGTTAGCTAATCATAGGTTTCTACGCGTAATCTCTCAACCTTCCTAACTTGTGAAGATACTGTCTCTGTGTAGTTCAGTCCTCTTGCTTGCACCACTTCATTTTATTTCATCATCAGCCGAAAAATACATGGTCCTGTTTTGCAAGATTTGATTAAGTTTCCCGTTTTTAACACATTTGTTCACGTTTAGTTAATATTAGTGATGAGAGCGTGACTACGCACATGCCGCCAACGACCAGCCAGACGACCTCGACAGGTAAAAAAATGTCCCTTTTTTCTGCATGCTTTTCGCCGTGCATGATCGGGAATCACACCCAGAAGTTGTAGGCGCAGCCAATGTAGACGGAGAAAATTCAGGTTTCGTTTACACGTGTCCATTTGCTTTTGTAAACGCGAACAAAATTCGTTCGTTCACAGGATTCCTAGGAAGATCTCGTTATGGAAATTTAATCTACCTGTCCTCCCCTCTCCTTACATTACCCAACTAACCATAACATTAAACAAATTATTGGTAATTAATTCTTAACCAGTTTTGTTAAATGAACTCTCGTGACAAAACATATTCGTAAGCTGAAGGCTTCTTAAACAGTATCTGTCGGAAGTGAATCTTGCCCTCCGCTAATTTTTACTTACAATCTTGCCGTAATATCTACGTACAGCCATATTAATCCAGCCGTCCTCAAACACACCGATAGTTTTAACATCTACAGTCCAGACGACGAACTCTACTGACAGAGGTATAACATTTTAATTGATCAAATAATCAAATGATAAAGCGAAAAAAAAACTGAGTGTCACTTTGATTAGTCATAATTAACATCGATTTAGCCCCAATTGCTAGAGACTCGATGGATGTATGGTCAATCTTTAAAACTGATTGTTAGGATAACAAGGAAACGCTTTAAATGTGTGTCTTTAAAGTCAATTTGGGATGAGGGTGGCAGTAAAAGTAGATCCCCGTATCGGGCTGTTAATTATTGCATCATAAAAGGCTCCATGTAACGTTATCCGCATATTATTTAAAAAATTATTAAAAGAAAAATGATAACAAAATTATGTTGATCACAACGGTGACAATGTTCTTTTATTTTGAGGATATAATTCTTTCTGTATAATTGCTCAGATGATAACCATAACTACATTTTCTTGAATTGTTTCTCCAATAACACCAAAACATCGTGTAGTGATCATATTTAAAATTACTGCTTCAGTATTATAGCCACCTCGCGCAAAGAGATCGGTCGATACCTACTACCAAGTCTCGACCAATCAGAGAGCAGGCATTTCTTAAATCATCTTAGCAATTATACTATAAAAATTGATAAATATGAAAGCATCGGTCTTAACTATAAAACAATTTGTTTGCTTTGTTTCGCGTCAATTGCTTAACGTTACGAACAGGAACAATTCATCAGACAGACAAAACCATGACAACATTCAACAACGTCTTGCCAACCTCCACCATTCTGACGTCATCTACATTGATTAACCTCAAACCAACATCCGCTAAAGGTAATGTTAATGATTACCTTTTGCTTCATAGTTTTCTACTCTGATATCACAAGTAAGATATGTCTAAAACAAGTCTAAAATCTTGGTGCACACGAGCCAATTTGTACCTGACTCTTTGGTTAGTGTGCGTAAAATTTGTTGAATCACAAATGTTGGGCGTTTAGCTTAGGTTGGAACTGGCTGACTCGGTTGATTTGCATAATAATGAATACGGCTTTTTCAAGATTTTTCCGTATTTTTTTTCCGATTATAATTTTTTTTAATGAAAACCTTGTCAGAAAAGGAGATAATCCATAAATCACCTAAACATAAGACAACGTGTGTTGGGAAACGTTTCGATTGACATCCGATTGACTCAAACTTACTTACTGAAGCAGTCTTATATTAATTAAATGTTTAACCAGGCAAGAACCTGCTCCATCTATTACTATGTAGTGCGCGTTGTCCCACTTCTGTTTGTTGCTTGTACTGTGCTCTTTTTTTTGTTAACTACGTTTTTAGCGTTGTTTTGCTATCGTATTGATTTCTGCTAGTCTGAATGTGGGCCAATTAATTTTAATTTTACTAAGCCTGTAGGTATTTGAAAATCTGAATATGCCTCAGTTTTTTGGTTGTATTATGTTACAGTTGCACAACTTCTTCAGCGTACAAAACACGCTTCCTTCTATCTAAGACGTGAAACAAAGAATTGCCATTAAAATACATACACCCATACGAAAACTCGTTTCAAAACCCCTAGTCTGTTCAGAGATCTTCTTTTTTCACACTTTTCTAGAGTACGAACGAAACAAGAGCCGCTGAGGATTTGACGAACGAGAACGCAGGGGATGGGGAGCTGGGAGAAAGACTATGCCCCATTCTGCATTTGTTCTTGTGCCCTGCGACTAAAAATGACTACAAGTGCTTCTTAATAATTTGAGCCTTTGTGGCATTTTGAAGCTCAGCTATCTGAAGTCTTGTTTGTTTTTCTGTTCCTTAGTTCCTTTAACTGAAACAGAGCCGCCTGCGACACGTGAAGAGAACACTCCAGAGAAGCAAAAAGGTTATTCCTTTTTTTCCTTTTTAATTGACATTTGCAACATTTCATGCGGAAGCTGAATTACATCAGGTCTTTCCTCTAACGCATGTAAAAGAAATCACAGAAAAACGGAATATTTTAGAATTAACTTTTGTTACATGTTGATCTGTGTGTTTTCGGTACCACTTTTATTTTTTCTTAATTCACCCCATAAACGTAACAGTTTCCCTTTGGCACAAAAAGGGTGCACATTAGCCTTGAACGCAATCTGATCCTCATCTTCTTGGAACGGAGGTTTCTCAACAGAGAAATTTTCCGCCAGTAATAAGTGCATATTATCTTTTCTTAAAAGGGCACGGAAACGAATCCTGCAATCTGATTGGTTCTTAGTGCGATTCAGATTTTCCTCTCTTTGCCCACGGGCACGATAACGCTTTGGCAAGTCGCCGAGTACATCCTTAGCTTCGTTATTGTTTTTGAGCAAATCAAGCCGATTAATAACTCAAGACCTCGGCACAGTTTTACCCAATACCGACCGACCTAGGCTGGTGAATAACATAGATATATTTCGCACTAATGGGAGTCTACTTTTTGTACATGAACATGATTTATCATTTCCATCAATCCAGAAATTCTTAATTCTATCCCTTTGTTTCAGACTCTCGCCAGGATGCCATGAGTGGCGGCACCATTGCTTCCATCGTTGTTCCCGTTTTGCTGGTGATCTTAGTGGTGATTATTATCATACTGATACTGGTTCGTTTAAAAAAGAAGAAGAGACAAAATCAAGGAGGTAAGGAGAGGACAAGTGTGTACTATGAGTGCCATACTATGAGTGCCATATTATGAGTGCCATACTGTGAGTGCCATACTATGAGTGCCATACTATGAGTGCCATACTATGAGTGCCATACTGTGAGTGCCATTCTGTGAGGCCGGTGTGCATTTTATTTTGATTAGCTAACCAAGGTCGTGTTTATTGAGAGAAACCTTTGAAAATGGAACAGTTCCAGATTGGATCACTTATTATTTCATAAAAGAACACTTCACGAACCGTTTCCGCTCAAAACGTGGTAACTTCTGAAAATTGGAAATAGTTATCAAAACCTTGTCCGCGTTCTCAGGTTGAAGGAGGATATAACAGCGGTCAGTTTTCGTGATCTCTGACCATCGAAAAACTTGGCGTAGTAGCTATTCTGTGGATTTGAAGGCGATATAAATATCCTAAATCGTTGATGTCTAGTGAATCATACGAGCAAGAGTTACTTGAATTTTTTTTTTTTTGGCAACGAGATTTGATACCAACAGCGGTCAAAAGTCGGACACGCGCAAGGAGATCAATTTTGGCCGGCGACGCGCCAATTTCTCGGGGAAAATTGTAAAGGAAAGCATTAAGTAACAACCGCTGTCTTAGCAATCTGCAAAAGGAATCAAAACAAGGGAAACGGAAAACTCGAGACTTTTCAAACACAAAGCTTATTTAAGTACGGGTATCTTGTTGATTTACCGGTCTCTTTTAAGTTTTATCAAAAATGGTTCTCCGCTTTTAAAACACCGTGACTCACTGGCTTGTGTAGTTGTTAGTAACTTGTCTGAGACGACTTCGTTTTAAGAGACTTAAAGCACTACACCCGGTCAGTACGTGCGTAGACGTTTTATCGTTGTGTACTCCACGTGCGGGAAATAAGAGCTCTCGCTACTTAAAATTTTTGAACCATCTCTATCGCCTAAACAAAGAAAGATCTATTTAAACTCGATAACTAGAATGCGTAATAAAGAGAATGAGCCCAAAAAACCTAGAGCGGTTGATCTCGATAGAATACGATTTTTTTCCCTCATGTACGTGCCTTTTTCCTTGTCAAACCACCCCCAATTTCCAGTGGGTTTTTCGAATATTAGTATCTAGGACATGGCGTTCAAATATCCTACTAATATGCTCTGGGGAGAGCAGGCGTCGTCTCTAGCGATTTTAGCAGCCATATGGCGCGCCTTTAGAAAACAGTTTTGGTCACGAATTGTCCATAAATCTTCACTTGTTTTTTCCCTCTGATCTTGGTTTCTTTTATTCTATCTGTAAAATAACTTTTTTTACTTTTTATCGATGCATCTGGTAGAAAAATGACGATTTTGTTTCATTTCTTTTCATTTCAAGTTCGTCACGGGTTTTGTAACGAATCGTACGGCGATGGGGAATCAATCCGCATGCAGGCGTCCCCGAGAACACGAGAAACCTCCCAAGCAGTAACTGCCAATCAGAACCAAACTCCAGCACTCGCCTTACCTGCCCAGGAACCCACTGCTTACTTTACAGGTAAGGGTTCTATTTTGTCAGATTTATATAAGATTGAGAGCGCGGTTTGTCAATTTAACACTTTGACGTGACCAAAAGGAGCGCGATGTATCGCCGACATGTTAGAAATGTCTCGGAGAGACAAAGTGCATTTATCGTTTTCATTAATTTTTTTTTTCATTTTTTGCGCACGTCCCGACCGCGGCGGCCCGTGTTCAATTCCCAATCCTGGATCTTACTTCTCATGTAGCTTGAGTTCCTTAATTGTTGTATTCCTCCTTTGAGTTTCTGCCCGATGCTCAAGTTTTGTACCCCCAAAATAAAAGTTGACAAACATACATACCTAAGCAGAGACAAAATTCCATATTCCAAGTGTGTTTCTAAGCTTTGGTCTTGTCTCTCTCTACAGCTGCACCTCCTCCATACAGTCAAACAGCTTCCGGGGACTATTTCGTACCTTTCGCTGCTCCTTACGGAGGAGGAATAGCCCCAGTAGGAATCGAGAACCCCGGTTACGCTCAGCTGTACTCAGCTCCTCCTGCTTACGAGGCCTCCGTACGGCAGGCAGCCAACTCTACAACAGCAACGGGAATTGGGTCGGTGACAAGTCTGAGGGAGGCCGCAAAAGATGATGGGTAGGTTTACAGGTCATTTTTGCATAATACCATAGACAGATAATTGTTCAAGATGTTCGATAGTGAAAGGTGATTGATTCAGTTGTCACAAGTCTGCGTCCCTGAGAGAAATTGAACCCGATACAGCCAGACTGAGCTTTTTGACGAGATTGGTTATTTACTGAATCCATGTATGACCTGCCATTGCCAGCCAATTTCATTAATAATTTTGGAAACTTCTTGCCTGACGAAAGAAAGAGAATACGCTTTTGTTACCTTTGGGCGTTATATTTTACAGCTACTTGGGATGCTCTTTTATGCAAACTGACATCTTTTTAGCACAGGGCATTCAACTTATTTCATTCACATGTATGATTTTGGTACATTCACGGTCACTGATTCATCACTTCAGGGTTTATTGCTAAACATCTCAATGACCAGTTCCCAGTTGGCTTGTTAGCTCAGTTGGTAGAGTACTGCACCGATATCGCAGAGGTCATGGGTTCAAATCTCGTACAGGCCTGAATTTGTTTTAGGCCTTATTTTCACTACAGCTCAAGTAGTGTTCATTGTTTCGAAGATCGTTTTCATATTCATTTTTTAAACCCCAGTTCACTTCTGTGATTTTCGTATACTTACAGTCACAGAGCATTGAAATTTCAAGCAGCTGGCCCTCTATCCACGATAACAAACCCTTGGCTCGACATGTTTCTCCCCAACCTACCCCACCTTGATAGTGAACGGTCCTTGCTCTGTTGTAAATTAGCTTGTTCCAGGCGTTCAGTCTCTGAAACGAGGCGCGAGAGTAAACGGCGCTATAGTAGCGAAGGAGTGATAAACGTGAGAGGTTTGGGTCGGGTCGCATAAAGAACGTGCTTTGCCGCTACTATCACGCCGTTTGCTATTTTGCACTTGCTGAACACTTTCAACAGCTTTATTGTAAGCTAATTCTTCAACAGCTCATGGATCGTCTCAACAAAGAGCGAACTCCGTATTTAGGCTGGTCAAATCTAATCTAAATTAACAATTTCCATACCTAGTACACAACACAAGATTTATATCGTAAACCAAAATAATTTAAGGCAGTTATCACTTTTGATTTGTTCAGAACTGGACAGAGGAAAACAGCCGCGTGTCTTTTAAGAATTTTCGTTCACGGCCCCTGATTCGCTGGCCTGATACTCCTCCACTGTTCCATAGCTAGTTTTAATTATAGTTGAAATTGTTGCTATCTTGCAGAGCCCTAGTGTTAAATGGTCTTGCTGCTCCTGGTAAGCTATTCAGACAAATTAGAGCAAGCTAGTTTCGAAATTTGTCCTCGTTTTATGACATAGTGGCCGTCTTAAAATTATCTACTCTAAATTCTCCAAACTCTATTTGGAGACTTTAAGAATGAGCTAATTTTTGTCTCGCGAATACGGATTCCATTTTACTTTGTGCTCCAACAGAAAATGGATAGAAAATTTGTATCGCACCGTCCAGCCTCTGTTTTGTCCATTAAATCTTCCACAAGGTTTCATCTCCGTTTCCGTTGTGTTTCACTTTGACTCTCTTCTGCTGGCCAAATAGCGTTCTAACCTTTGAATACGTAAAGGTTTCGCAAGATGTCTTTGTTTTTGGTTATTATTAATTACGCTTTGTGGATATCTTCTAGGCGCAGTTTATGCTCCACTTTCCAGAGCAGTCCTTCCTCCCATACGGGGCACTCAACCGACAGGTGATCCTGTAAAGAAACAGGCTCCCGAAGAGGAAGAAGCCGGTTAGTTGGATACAGCTTCAGAAGGCTTTATTGTAGACCTTTCTTTTTTTTTTTCACTTTTTTTTTGAGTGATGCCTAGTTCATTTATTAATTTAATCTCTTGCATTAATTATCTCTCAGGCCCCCTGCCTGAAAAACCTCCGCTGACCGTTGAACATCTTCCTGAGCCGTCGGCTCCCCCCAGGCCTCCATCGGCTACCTCCCAAGTCCGGCTAGTGAGTCCTGCGTCTCCACCGGAAGCGGCAATGGAATTTGACACCGAAGTACCCTTCGAATTCCTTTGTCCAATCACAAATAAGATCATGTCAGATCCCGTAAAAGCATCTGATGGTTACAATTACGAGCGCAAAGCTATTCGTCGTTGGTTCCGAAAGAAGCGAAGTAGTCCGATGACTAACGAGACCTTGACGGATTTTGAAGTTCGGTCCAACGCTGAGCTACGAAGCCAAATCGAACGTTTTGTGGCAAATCATTCTGTTGTGTGACACTGTGTTGAGTTTTAGCTTGCAGAATAGGCGGGTTGAGTGTATATAGAGTTTTTCTCAGTCGGCCTTTTTTTTTTTTTTTTTTAATTTTGCTCAAGGTTTGTTTAGTCATAAATTTGTGTCCAACGCACGCTGACCGGTCAGCGTTGAATATTCAGATTGGTCCTCCCGATCGATTAGATAAAAGATTACGTACTCCTTAACAGCCTTCATTGCCTTTCAGTGGCTGGTAACATCATAATAACCGTCACAAAGTGAACGTCAGTGTATATTTAGCGTGGTGAAGACTACTGAAAACAATCGCAAATTGAAAACATTTTTTTCGCTTCAGTTTCCGAAACGGCCCGTCTCGGTAGATGAAGAATGCCACAGAGACATGCATTATCCGCTCAGCATAGTCGCTTTCTTAAAATAAGATATAAATACGCACTCAAAACTCCATTGCTCTATTGACGCTAAGTAAGTAAATAAAGTTTTTTCTCGTATTTGTTGTTTATGAATACAGTGTATATGTGTTCGTCATGAATATTTTCTCTTGTGTTACTGAAAGAGGCCAATAGCTGTTTGGTCCCCAGTTTTATAGGATATAAAACAGAGTAGTTATTTGGTGGACTGGGGAAGAGCAAGCTTTGTAAGATGAATGGCGTGTTGATAATCTAAAGGCCGTTGGAATGTCGGCAAAATGTCTTTATTGATAAATGAATGGTAGGTTGTTGCTAGTGGTAACAATTATTCACGAGACTCACCTGAGCAAGCAGTCTGTTTTGGGACGTCATGAGAAACGACTGAGAAAAATATGTGCCCCTTACTAAATTTGATCAGCTCTATTTTATTGGTATCTTAATATTGGAATGATCTTAAGAATGACTTCGAGTTTTGGTAGCATTTCCTAATCTTGTCAACGTGTATTAATTTATTTTTCCGAATGAGCCATAACCTACAGTTGTGTAAAGTTGTGTAGAGTTTAGAAATGAAGTGTTTTAGAATATTTGTGAAGAAACTTTAAGTTTTACGCGTGTTTCGTTTCATTTGTTTGGCCTAAAGGCATTTTGTAACAAGCTATATATAAGAAATATCTTGCCTGTGTAATTTTATAAAAGATTTCTTAAAATGACTCTCTATAGTTGTTTGTGGTTTTAACGTCCTGGGTGCTATGTTGGTGAAACTGAGAAGCCTATTTTCACAAGGAGAAACATTCTCATTTTTTAAGGCCTATTTTGCGTAAGACCGAAGGGATCCCTTGACCACACCAGGCCCCAAACGCATTAATGCGTTTTCAAAAGTGTCTGTCTTCGTATCAAACATATGAAATATCATGTCTTCAATCTCATTAGCATTTTTGTTCTGCTCTCAACTTGTATTTTGATACGCTTTTGTCTGTGGCATCGCCCAAATATGCAGGTGGAAGCGAATGTGCATATATGTGGCACATATTTCGTAGCTGGTTTTTAAAAGCCTCCGTTTTCACTTGAAAATACAAGAAACGGAGCGGTTGAAAAAAAATGCGCTCAACTTTAAAAACCATTTTGCGAATGTCTCCGTTTTCGCAGACAGACGTCACGGCGTGAATGACAGGTAAAACGTATCAAAAAGTGTGAATTTTCGATCGAAGACCCATTCGCATGGATTGGGCTTCAAGCAGTACTCAGGCGATCGGAACAATTCGATGGCAAACCAGGCCAAATGATTATCAGAGATTCGAAAGATCAAGCAAATCACGATTGCCCGGATTGAACTGAGTGTATGCATAACACTAGTTTCGATTTCCCTAATGATCCAAGGGATACGATATTTCATTAATGCACTCTTTAGACTGCTACAGTGTAAACATTTTTACAAGTTGCCCAGAGCACCTCAATTTCTGAAGAGCGGTTAATGAAACACACTGAGGAAATTTATTAAACTGGGCTTGCACTGATCTGCCTCGATCGCGCGTATCTGAATAGCTTAAGGTTCAACTGAAACGGAATATTCGAGCATTTTCTAAATTATTTGTAGACTACTTGCTAGGAACACACAAAGTAGAGCCAAAAAGCACTTTTCTGGTAATATAAGAAACAAAAGCAAAAAATTGCACGAATTGCCGGTGACTTTCATGATTTATTATCACTTGTGGTTGTTTGAAAGGTTTTAGAATTTGACGGCGCGTAGAATTGAAATAGCTTTTAAAACAACGCTTATCTCTACAAACCACGAGGTGTCCTCGCACTCAACCAACCAATTCCTCGGACCTGTGTCAGGGATGAAAATGAAAAGTTTGTTGACTCATAATGTAAATTTACGTTATTTTCGAAAAAAAGACAAAGTGGGGAAAAGACCTGAATTTTATTGTTTACATTTGTAATGAATAAAGGAAGACAAGCGCTGACAATGTCGTCTTGTTCGCTGTCATAAATTAATAATCATTTTACAGAACTGCTTAATTTTCGAAATTTTACCTCCATAGCGTAAGATCGCACCAAATACTTAATGACAGATTTATTTTGCCATCAGAGAGCAAAAAAAAATCGCAAACTTGATGGCTAATCAATACCAATGATAAAAACTTTCCAATCTTGACATTTCAACTTTGGGTAAAAAAAAGTTTTTAGAATCGAATCGTAATTTAAGTGTTTCATCGCTGTTTTAACAAGAACTTAGTAGACATTTCCCCGCTCTGCTAAAAAAAATCTATTGTAACTATCAGCATTTCATAGTGTACAATTAAACTTTGGCAGTTTCAGTGTTTATATCAATGCTCAGGCAAGAATTTATACCACAAAATTTTGCCGCCGTCTTCGACAAATCGACAGTAGCTGTCAGTATTCCACAATGCTTTCCAAAAGGGGGTGCCATCATAGGCATAATACCGTCCAAGTATCGGCTTAATGGCTTCGGTGGCCTCCGCCATATGATAGTGAGGCATGTAAGAGAACAGGTGGTGAGCTACATGGCAGTCCGTGAGGTGGTGGAACACATAGTTCAGGATTCCATAATCTCGGTCGATTGTGCACAGCGCGCCCTTAAGCCAAGTCCATTCCTCGTCGGCGTAGTGCGGTACTTTGACATCGGAGTGCTGCAGGTAGGTGACTATCACCAACCACATGTTAACATTCATAAGGGGTACCACGTACAGACACACCAACCACCCGAATGAGTAGACATGGGCGCTGAGATAGAACAGGATACCAATCCACACAAGCAAGGCCACATCGCTCACGATCACATCCCAGAAATCACCAGGAGAGAAAATGGGAGCGTAAGGGTTGAAATGATTCGGTCGCAGCCGATATTCCTTATAAGGTCTGCCACGAGCATGAAAAAACAAATATGCCGGCCAACCAATTGTTAGGTACTTAACAATGTGAAGAACCCTGAAGAAGATATTTGGAAATTCTAATTCGTTCTCCGACTTAAGAAAGCTTCTTGTGTTAGGGACGAATGCTTGGTCGCCGTCCATTCGATTGGTATTCCGGTGATGCTTTGCGTGCGATATACGCCATGAATGATACGGGACAAAAAGTGCAGTGTGTAGAATTAGCCCGACGATATCACAAATTCGCTTGCTGTTACAGAACGAGTAGTGACCGCATTCGTGCGCAATAATCCACACGCTGAATCCAACGCAACCCTGGCAAAGCCAATAAAGCGGCCAGAATACGGCGTGAACGTAAACCGGCAAAGATGCGTTAAACACCCAGAACGCTGCCGCATACAGCACGAAAACGCCGGTCAAATCGAGGAGTAAATATAAACTCGAAGTAAGGAGAGATCGCTCGAAGCAATGTGGCGGTACAGCATCCTTTAAATCTTTCAGCTTAAAAGGAGGATTTTCTGTCGGCATTCTTGCTCCATCGAGACACGTTTCGGATCCAGTGCTTTCCTTGGCCGGCGAATCATCCTTGGTTCGTCTTCTGGCCGAAGTTTCCATCTTGACGCCTGAAAGAATCGCAGTCAGCTTAGAATTGGATAAAAAAGAATTGCGCGTTTCAGACCACTCGGTTATTAATGAGCGTAAGTCAAAAAAAGGGTCGCAGTGTGATTGATTGTTGTGTATGTTTGTTTGTCACGCGTGGTATGTTTTTGCCGCGCGAACGAATGAATGCCGTGGAAAAGTTCAAACGAGAGTTAATAACCTAAATTATTTACCGTACACCTGTTTTGGAATTAATAAATAAATCAGCGTAAATGGCGGGTGGTTATTTCGTTTCAACCACAAAATAAAGCGCCAAAATCAGTCCTGTTTATGAAATTATCTGCTATGGTAATGGTTCGATTTGACCCAATCGCTTCAGTTTATCAAACTCTAAAGAGCTACACTTCATCGAACAATTGTCGAAAATTGAGCGACGCTTAGACTTCAATCGGCGCATTAATCGGTTTGTATTTAATAATTACTTACCGATTTTTCATCTAAGAAAAGGAATTTCTTTTCGGCATTGTGATGAACAATGCCGAAAACTGGCTTTCTCTTTGGCCGTTGCTAAGAGACGATTGTGACGTACCGGTTTCACCGCGCGCGGTTTTTTTGTTCAAAACAGTTTGGTGCTAGCAATTCATTTCGACCTTCGCTGAATATGCCAAATGGTGACAAAGTTTACGTCAACGTAAATTAATAACCTTTCTAAGCAATTAACTTTCCTTCGGCATTGTTTGTATCTAGGCACGCTACTAAATTATTGCTGATGTCCAGCGCTGCTTTGACTGCGGTTTCACGGCTTTTTTTCCCTGACAAATTATTTTTGTCAAGTTTCCAAATTTTCGACAGCGTTTATTGTGCTGCCAATTCGAAAATATCTTGAGTAATTAGTAGAAGCCCGATTTACCAAATTGCAAAACAATGCGCGAAGCAAATTATCGTCTAGAAGAGTTAACATATCTATAAAAAACAAAACAATTATATCAGAGAAGCATCACAGAAACATTCTAACCGTTTGTGCGACAGAAATTGCCAATTACTGCGCCAAATATTAACTGTACACACTGCTGACTCATAATATTCTAGGCTTAATTCGACGACAACGCACTTCAAGCGACCGCGGGCGTCTTGAATACTATTTGGCTCTTCCCGCAAATTTCACGTGTTTGATAATCTTATATGTTTTTCTTTTTCATTTCGCTGCTATATATTTTATCCTGATTGTCATTAAAAATAATCAATAAGGATTGTCCAAATCTCTTTTGGTTATCAACAACGAGGAGATAGGGACATATACAGTTGTGAAAATTTTGTCGAGATTTTAAAAAACATCTTTCTATGAATCTGCCGCTTCGTTTAGTGATATTATCAGTTCTGATCCTTTTTCTCAAAATATCTGATCGTCAATTCTCTATTCTAGATTTTCTACACTTCCTTGATAAGTGAAGAATCTGGTATGCAGCTAAATAAAGTTGAAATCATCCGGCTGATAAGCATGTTCTTGCCAGGGTGCTGAAATGTGAGTCTTGATATTGTGGCGACGGGACGTTATAAACATCTCTCTTTTGGACTAAAGGTTTGAACACCAGTTTTGTCTCTGTTCGTTACTTTTAAGTGTATCTGACTGTACCATCAATGCTGTCTTTTCTTTTACATTTTTATGTTTTTGTATTGTTTTGTTTTTTTTCAACATCTACGCAAACAAAAGTTAAATTACTGTTATCCCATTTAAGGTTAAAACTGGGCGACCTCGTTTTAGCAGAGGTTTTGAGCTTATAACAAAAATTAATGTTCAAATTATTATAAAGTTAGCAGTAACAACTCTTCCCGACAAAAACGATCATGGGAACCGAGTTCGCCGAATATTTAGCCAGCTGGGCTTCCAATCACAAGGTCAGGGTCACTGTATTGTGTTGCTAGGCAACTCTGACATAACCAGTCCCTTTCGCCGGGAACATAGGCACAGACGTTTTTGAGACGCGGACGGTAAGAGGAAGAACCGTGATAAGCTTTGTCTTGCCTGCTACTCTCATGTACAATCACTAGATGAGGAACTCAACTGTTAGCCGTAAAGACATCACCTATTGAGGCCCACGGCGAGTGGAATTGTTTGAAACGAGCACTATAAAGACGAAATTCCATACTGAGTTAAAGAAAAGAAAACATCCACAAATGTGTCTATGACATCCGAGAAAAGCTGTTTATATAACAAAGATATTAAGTAAACAACTTGGCAAACCAAATTTGAAAGATGAGTACCAACAATTCCCGACAATTTTTGTATAAGAAGCAAATGATTTATACTGAGTTTTTTTTTTTTTTAATTTAAAACTTTCTTCTAGGAAACATTTTCGCGTTTACTAGAAAATGCTTTTTGTCATTGTTTAATATCTATTTTTCTGCGCCATGATAACTGACATAGTAAATGTACAGACGGACTCAAGGGGAAAAGGATATACCGAATATGCAATTTCTAATTAAATTTCCTGTTAGTGCTAGGTAACATTCAAATAATGTCAATGTGTTTCTATGTATTAGGCTGTGCCTAAAATTTACGTGCGCATAAATATATTTTTGTTTCCGTTGGTCATGGAGACGAAAATTTAAAGACGCGTTTTTGTGAGTTAGACAATACCTTTCACTTTTTTTCTTGGATCTTGTGCGTCCTAAATCGCGCTTGGATCAAATTACTAGCTACGGGTACTATGTCATAGCAAGGATGGCCAACTATCATTGAAAAAAAGCTTTTGATTACAAATAGTTGAAAATGTGCCACGAATCTCAATAAAAAGTGCTTGATATTCATCCCACGCTCGTGACAAATGGAAAATTGTTTTTTTTAATACCTGCAGATGTTTTAAATAGTCTGCAGGTTTTTCCCACGTGCGTGGGAAGGTTTTAATGTTTTGTCCCACACCTGAAAGAAATTTTACCACTTTTTTTTCATAATAAGTATTCAGGCTTTGGGTGTTCTCAGTTTTGTTAGACTGTGGTAAACCACCAGTTTTTTTCTCTCCTTTATGGTAATGTTTTTTTTTAAGATTTGATCGTTCCCCCAAGGTCAAGACCGCGTGTCTGTTGTCTGTAGTTTTCTTCAGGGTTTCAAGGGGTGGGGTATCTTGTAGAACTTCTTTCAACCTTCCAACCGATTGACGGTTAATACTGAGCTGTTTATTTGAAGGCTTACAGCAAAAATTCATCCTTTTTGACGGTTGAAGGTTAAATTTTGGGCCATTTGATGGCTGATTGTTGAAGCCACTACTCTTTTTTTTTCCTTTTATTTTCAGTATCTGCGTCCTTAACCCTCTGACACAACAGTAGGTATGTTTAATGTTTTGGCAATCAATAGCCATGAATATTTGTATTTCATTTTTTGTCTACTTTTGGGGGTACTGCAGAGCCTTTGACATGTGCACGTGTAGGCGAGACATTCAACAATGCCTCTGACAGAATCAGCTTCTACGTTTTCAATGCTTACTAGACTAGTTTTGTTGTGATATAAAAATAATCAATTACTGTCAGAAGGTTTTCGATTTTTACGTGGTCAACTCGACAATCGGTTTCGAGTAACATGAAGCGCAGAACGATTTCAAACACCACAATTCGTTGCCCAATTTTGTTATATGTCAAAAACCGCCTTAAGAAGACTTGTGCCACACTAATTTTGAGTTAAGAATTGTCGTATGTAACTCGGCGAAGGAAACCGGTTCAAAATCGGTGCTTGTAGCATTATCCTTCGATTTCGTTCAGTATGAATTTATGGATGCTAATCATTCAAGATCTATTGAAGTGAAGAAGTTATGCCTACTAAGTTCTAGTCCGGCTCTGAAGGGTGCTGAACACCTGATAAAAGTTTTCATGACGTTGAGAGGAAAAGAAATAAAATTCCCCCAGTTAAGATCGCACAGAAATTAGAAAAAGATGGATAAAAACACCTACCTTTTGCAGATTCTCTCCGATTAAGCTTTCGAGGTACTAGACAAATGTGATGTGTCATACAGAGCAGTATCCAAGGCTCCTTATAGCTCAATTCATATGCTAATTACCTGCCAAAGGCCCCACGCTCCTGTCCAACTAGAATTTACGTAAGCGATACAAAGTTGTTTGGTTTTTTTATTACTATGACTCAAAAGACACTTAGATGATAGACAAATTCGGCTAACGCGCGCTCATTTGTCTCGTGACCTGGATTGAGTAAAACGACAAACACATGTGTTGGTAAGCTATGTAGCTTGACCGAAACAGAAGTAACCATGCTTCCCTATTGTTGCGCCGGAGGATGCTATAATAGTTCTAATCAAAAGGGTCTTTCATGGCATAAATTACCACTAGATCGGCCGACCTTATTGTCTGTCTGGATTACGAAAATGAGACGGGATCCTCGATATTTGAACGTCAACGAGCACACCGAGATATGCGGCGAACACTTTGTGATAGAGGACTACCTGAATCCTTATTCAGTGAAAAACGACTTAAAGACGGTGCAGTTCCTTCGATTTTTGCGTGGAATAAAGATAAAAATCAGTCTAAGAAAAGACGTTCTGTTATAGAAGAGCTGGAGTCTATAAGAACTGAGGACGATAAAGTAACAAACACTGCATCTGAGGGAGAAGGCGACCCTGTCACAAACAGCTCTGAAAAAGACGTGGGTTTAGTTTCACGAAAAACACAAACATTTGAGGATGACATTAACATTTCGTCAGATGATCATTGGCGAATTCCTTGCTCACATAAATTTTCTGTAGCTCATTTACTTTCGAAATACACGACGCCTAAGAAGGAGGAAAAGATGTTTACTCACTTTACTGGATTTAATTCTCATGGTGAGTTCATGAACAGGTTACAGATTTTATTGCCAAACCTAGATATAAAACTGTTGTTTTACTGGGTTAGTGAAGCAAGAAAAAATACTGTCATTGATACAGAAACAATGTTTGATGGTGGTTATAACGACCCAGATGATTTTAACGATGAAGAACAAAATGACATTAGTTTAACGCGTCCTGGAGTATACAAACTGCCAGTTGAGGATGAGTGCCTTCTTTTGCTAATGAAACTTCGAATGGGTGTAAGCGTCGTTGATCTGGGAAAAAGATTTAATATTGCCGAGTACGGCTAATAATATATTTCTTACCTGGATAAACTACCTGTATGTCACCACAAAGAGATATTATTTTACAAAACGCACCTGCAGAATTCTTGGTGAAGTATCCAAATAACACTGTGATTATTGATGCAACTTGTTGTGTATCAAGGTTCGTCATGTACTACTATAGAGTAAAGCGTGCACAGACCAAGTGCTCTACACAACTTCTTTATTAGTTAATTACACACAATGATGTATGAGCATAATCACGTGACTGCGGTCAAGGGCGTGCTAACCAATAGAGTAAAGATTATGTAATAGCTAAGGTATTTATCCAAATAGGAACAACCACTACATTCCCCCACACTTATTTCAAAGGCTTGGTAATCAGTTACTCTAATCATTATGTATTAAATCCTAAACGCTGCGGTGCTTTACGCTGTTGAGTTGGATAGCGTGGTTGAGGTTGAGGTTGCGCTGTTGCGGCTGCGTTCGTATTTTCATCGTTGTTATTTTCGCTACTTTTAGTTTCATTTGGTTTTAGTGTGGCTTTTTCCGCGGTTTCCGCTTGCGGAGGGGTTAGCAGTTGGATGTCAGTGGTA